CCGTCTTCCTATCGAATTTACGATTTAGAAACTGATCATACCTGCATATCCTGTTAAAAAAGTTCCATCATAGACACAGAGTTGTTCGCTATCCAATTCAGTCGAAAGTCCAGGTAGTTCATTAATCGGATCACGTTCGGGTCACCACTTTGTCATTCAATCCTACTGATGTTTAGATCTAACATTAAGCAGGCAAACACGAACAGTAACAAAAAAGAACTTTATTAGAAAAGGTTAGAACTGTCACAGACATCCTCGGGCAACACCCGGACAAAATCCAACGACTTTCGCGCCTTTTCTTTTTTTGACGTTGCCAGCCACTCTTGTTGGCAAGTGTTGCCAGACAGAGTTCGTGATCTTGGCAAGTGTTGCCAGACAGTGTTCAGGATCTCTGGCGCTGGCGGCCACACTATTAATTACTTACGAAAAATCCTGAAGAAGAGAGAAAAGCAATCGACATTAGACAGATTCTTTAACCCTTTCAAACAGAAAAAAAACACAATAAAAACGCAAGACTATGTATGTATGTATTTTTATTATCATCAATACATATAAATAAAGGTAGTAAGAAAGTATATATTTTTTATTTTGGGGGGTCTCCAGAACCAATTAATCAAATTCCCATAGAAACCTATGGTAAATCGATAATCAGTTAACGAACAATTCGGATAGCAAACAAAGTCTTGGAACGGATTATGTTCGTTAACCGATCACCCACTGTATATATATATAAAAAAAAACATTGTAAAAAATTGTGTACCAACAAATAAAAATGAACTCGTTTCTTGCTACTGTGCACAAAATTAACCTAACTAAAATTTGTGAAATGTACTGTGCACATGATTATAAACAAGTTAAACGGCAAAGCCAGTCTTGGGACGAGACCATGTCTCAAAGAGCACGAGCAACGCATGTGCAAATCTCGCATTCACGCCTGTTTGTAGTAACAGTCTCAGCATTTCATATTTTATTTTGACCCGGTTCTTGGTCCCCCAACTACCTACAAGTCTGGTTTATTTTATGTGCGCATGATTTGGGCACCTAATACTCTGTGCCAAATTGCAATTCCTGACATGTACTCCTTCATACCTCTAAGGTGTGCAGCTGTTGACAGCAGTGCAATTTTAGAGACGAGACATAGTATTGTCAATTACTATGTAAAGGAACAAATGACACATGTAGCTAATGCCCATTAACCTAAAGTAAACCACTTGATTTCATCTCGTTTATCTATCACTACAATCAAATTGTCAGTTAATAATTCAAAGCCAAAACTTATCTTTAGACTTGTTAGAATAAGCATTACAATGAGATAATTGTATTGCATTAAAACAAAAAGAAAAAAAACCAAGTCTCACTGTCAATCAAAGTCTATGTTAATAATTAGTTTATACCAAATATTAAAAGTTAACACTAAAATATTTATCTCAAAATAATTCTCTTTCCGGGATTCTACATTTGAATTTCATATACAGTCGACCCCACTATAAGATATAGATACGTTCCATTCTTTAGGAATCCGATTTCTTACAAATCCTTCCAATCACAACCCGACACATGTCAAGTTTACGGACTACGGTTGTTTGAAAGATTTTCTTCCATAAAATTAATCGATTCTAGACTAATCCGACTCAACATTTCCAAAATACGTATATTTTTTTTGGGAATAATCCGTATATACTACGCTATAAACAAAAAATTGTAGGATTACTTACCGAGTGTCACCATTCAACATCGCCATTGCTCAACATTGTTTTCGCCGCGGAACAGCTCAGCAAACCGCAGCCGATTTCTAATAACTTATTTTTCTGCGAATAGTTCCTTGAACTTCGGAGACATCATTAATATAAATAATTTTAATCGCCGTTGAATAAGAAATGTTTCTTTCACAAGAAATGTATAAAATTACAGTACTGTATTAGACTTACGGTACCTAATTTACATACTGTACAGACGATAGTTAGCGTAAAAATCTCCGTAGCGTGGCGCCACGCTAGACGGCGGAAATTATATATTTAATTATAACAAAGTTACAATAAGTTAATATATAATTATATATACAGTACCTAATTTATATATAATTAATATATAATTATATGTACAGTACCTAATTTATATATAATTTATATAATACTGTCCAGACGATAGAAATCTCTCCGTAGTTGGCGCTACGGACGGCGGGAAAGTAGTTCGGCTGCCCGATGACGTTTGAGGTAATTATAGGGGGTTTTTACTTTTTTTACGGATACCGGTCACAATTTTTTCGTAGTTTTATAGGAATCGTAATTATAGGGGGGTCAACTGTATTCAGTTTCTCAAAAGTGTTTTCTAAAGCTAAATTACGATGGTGTGTCTTGTATTCTGATGCAGTTTACATAACAAAAAATAGAACATTTAAAAATAATTTTTGGTTGTTAAGCAAGCATAAAAAAAATAGAAATATTTTATTCCATTAACCCTTCTAGTGGTGCAATCAAGAATTTTTTGTGCCCATTATTCTCAATAGTACTGATCCCCCTGACAATTTTTGTACTTAACTACTTGCACTTAATTTTTTCTTAACTAAACGCTTCATACAATAATTTTTATTTCATTGTGATTTGAAATTAATGCATATCTTTCATTCATATAAATTTTGTGATAAAGATTAAATAAAGTTCACATTTGATAGTAAAAATCTTATAAACTAATCATAGTAAACTATGAAATATTTAGCATACTTACAATAATTTCTTAAAAAATTTGGAAGAAATTACTTAAATAGTCTGATTAAAAGTCTATAAAACCAAAAATTTAAAAAAGTATTGAAAACAGAGATAAGAAATTTACCATAAAAGATAAAAACAAAATATTTAATACATAATTTTGATAACCTCTACGATTAACTTGCCGTTAGGCTTTAGCTAGCAGGTACCAAACTTACCAGCAAAGATTAAGCTACACTTAACACACAAATATTCACATAACTTACAATTAAAAATATAAATGTTTACATGCAAAATAGTGTGTTTACATTTATAAAAATGTTTTAAGTATCACAGTAAAATATTTAATGTATTATAGATTCTATACACACTCTAAATTACGTACAGAAAGAAAATTTTAACTCAATTTTTAAAATTATTATTAAAAATATAACAATGGGAGCAAATATGTTTTGTGACGATACTCGAGCATTTAAAGATTAGAAATTTATCATAAAGAAAAATTACCTGATTGTCTTTTCCTGTGAGTTAAGACATTAACAATTTCGGTTCCTAAAGCAAGTCTATCTTGATTGAAAAGTATAGTTTCCAAACAATCTTGAATTTCTTCTTGAATGGAATCATCTAAATTTGTTAACGGGGTAATAATATTCTGCGACGATGGTTGTATGTGCAATTGAATAAGTATGCTCAGTAATAAAATGGCAACTTTAGCCAGTTCAAACGTGTTTCCGGAGCAGCAATCGCGATAGCGAATGAAAGTATTAGAAGATACTTGATAATAATCTGAAAGTTTTATAATTTTAAGTTACATTTATTTAATTTCTTATATTTATGAAGTAAAAAAAAAAAATATACATACATACCATCTATAAATTTAGAAATTTCTTTGAAGTTGTGAACTGGACTTCCTGAATTTACTGCTAATGTTTTTTCACTAAAAATTTAAAAATTATCATCTCAAATTATTATTTCATGTGTTTAAATAATAATAAATTAAAACTAAATTATTAGGCTAAATATCACTTATGGTAGCTGTTATTTCGTTATGAATGTATCTCTCTTTAATCCGACAAATTAAGTTCGGTAGACTATCAATACAGCTTTTATGCATTTCAGGCTTATATAAATGCTAAGCCCCTCTTCAATACAATAATATGGTTCTGTCTTCTAAAACCACAGTGTATAACGTAAAACATTGGGAAGTGTTTTTAATACAGCCATTAAAAACATCTAAAATACACTTTCCAAACATTCATACGGAAAACCTGTTTTCTCCATCCATTTGCATCCAATATTCTTCTAAATATCACTTATGGTAGCTGTTATTTCATTACCTAAAAGCCGTATTGATAGTCTACCAAACTTAATTTGTCGGATTAAAGAGACATACATTCATATCATAAATTATTAGGTTTTAATATTTAATTATGATTACACACCTTTATTGATTTCATTAACAACAACAACAGCAATAATTTTCGGTGTTGTGTATTCTACTTCACTTATATACTGATGCCATGCCAGACCTAGATAAAAGCATAGCTACAGTGTTCATGCATTGTGTATGTATCTGTTTGGAATTTGATGCAAAGGTCAATCAAATTTCCCTGTCAATATCAAGTGACTGCTGGTTGTGGCTAAACTTATATAAATAACAATACACAAACTTTCTCAGCACCTTCTATTGTCAGTAATAGGTTACATCCAACTGTAATGACACCATTGTAGTTATATCATTGATTGTTCAACAACCATCCACATGATAGATTTGTAAACTCAACTGGGTTAAACTCCCCGACATTATTTGCTCAAAATCAAGTGATCATTCTCCCGATAGCCAATGGATTCAACAGTCCTTGGTGTTAATTCTTATGAAGGTAAAATTTTTGAAGTGCAGCTGCAACGTTGCCGTCGTTGTTTGCATAAAATGACTTTACAAGAAATGTGTGTTCCAGACATCATAGCCAATAATGACACTCAACACTTGCAGTCACTTCTATACCTAGAACTCGACTGCAACATGTGTGTTTATACAGTCGAGTTCTGGGTATAAAAGTTGCTTGCAGTGCTGAAAGTTCCCTAATCTTTTTTATAGAAATATCTTTTACTTTTCCTGAAATGTCACCAAACTAGATTTAGTTGTATTTGTATTGCTAAATCATTCTCTAGATAGAAGTGAATAAGGATACTTTAATTACAATCACCAGTGCATTAACATAGTCTGTCATACATGTATATGTACAAGTTTATTTATAAATACTGAAAAGTTTAGCTATATTCACAACCAGTATTTGGATATACATTATATATGCTATTTATAGTATACATTAACTCTAAATTCTAAAAACTTCTTTGTATAGTATATTCAAAATATCAGTGCACTGTCAGCACTTAGCACTTCTGTTCAAAGTCTCAGGCAACTTCCGGCTGCTGCAAGAAAACTGTTTTGGTGCTCGATATGTATCCAAACAAGACAGCAGCCATCATAAGACTCTTAAAGCTTTATTTCGCAGCTTAGAGTTAAAAGGTATTTTACACATTAAAGTATTTAGATTTTAAATCACATTATGTCTAATGATGTTTTTAAGTACTTCAAACAGTCTAGCCTGAAACAGATATTTGATACTCGTGATAGCTTTACATGAATATACTTAAAGTATTTATATTTTATTAAAAATTAAATATAATGCCAATCCATATATAAAATGTTAACAGTTTTAATATATGTATAAATTTCTGCATAATTTTATAAAGTGTCTCAATCTTTGTATGCCAGCAACACATTCCATAACACGTTATGTTATAACTTATCTTTCAGTTATATTGATTTGATATTTTCTAGCATTTCTATCTAGCATACAAAACAAAGGGTCGTTGTAAATACAGATATCCCTCGTACAACATGGTACTTCTATAACATGATTTCACTCTAACATGATTTGTAATTTGGAAATATCTCCCATACAACATGACTTCCAGTTTCGCCCTAACACAATTTTGGAAATCCTCAGTACAAAATTTCAGTTTATAAGTGTAAATTTCATTATTTGATGTTTTTCTTTTTATTCAAGTAAGCAAATGAAAACTGATAAGACAAGGAAGAAAAAAGTACAACAACTTTCCTATCAACTAGGTGTTGTTGTTGCTTTCAGACTTTAGTCCTTAAGACTATCATGGTGTTTTCTTTTTTAGGTAAATGTTATTAAACTTTTTAAACCACAGGCATTACTTACCTATGAATGATGAATGAATACCTGTACTTACATACCACAAATACAATATTAAAAAACATACAAGTCCAATTAATTATATAAAGTGCATTCAAAAAGCACCTGGAAAATGTAAATAAAAAGACAGCAAATCAAATTTTGCCCTTTATTTTTTGACATATATTCCATTTAAGTTAACAGATTTTTCTATACGGCATCACCATCCTTTTAAGTCCTTCTAGGAGAAATCAATGCTCCGATTCTAGCCACTGCACTACAAAATGTTTCACGTGATCCGTAGACTGCTAGCAAATGCCGTTGAAGTCTATTTTAAATTTAGAAATTGAAAAAAAGTTCGATGAAACTAGTTGCTAACACATGCTTTTAAATTTCAACAAGTTTGTGCTCACATGAATTAGAAATATACCATTCTGTTCATGAGTAATAACAATTTTCCAGAAATTTTTTTAACACTATGTACGTAATGGGTGAAAAGTTATTTTAGTAGTAAATGCAATAAAAGAAATTAATCCATTTTTTAAAAATTTTAACAAATACTCACGTCATCTGTATGAGATGGAAAAATATTTTTCCATCTTTCAGTTCTTCGAGCGACTCCAAAACCTGGTCCAACGTAAGACAATTGAGCTAGAAAATAATACATTTGATTCATTAATATTTTAGGTTCGTTTCTTATTAGAAATCTTAAAATAAATAAACAAGTAAAAATTTGCATGTGTATTCTTTCTTAATTAGTAACGAGTAATTATTTATTGTAACATCACCACAATGCTCTGTATTTTAGTAGTGTCTTGCCCCTGTACATCAGGGGGTATCCAACTTTTGTGTACATAAGATCTACTTTTTATCTTAAAAATGTCTCGCGATCAACTTGTCATAGGCATAGTCTAAGTGGCGAGGGGGAGGTGTTAAATACATACTAGTTTAGATAGGTAAGAAAAGCCACAATTTAATTTAAAACTTGAAGAAAAGGTACTTACATTTTAAACAGAAGAAAAATTGAATCTCAACATTGTCACTTTCAGGGACCACCACTTCACCCTTCCTCTCTCTATCGTGTCCTGACCTACTCTCTCTGTCACTCTTTCCGCCTTTTTTTTTTACGACCCTTTGTCTACATTTCTTATTCCCCTTTTACAACTATACATAAATGGATTGCATATGTACCAACAAAACCACATCTGAGGGAGGAGGACGCGGAGGTTCAATATCACTATGGTTGCGTTTGCACATTACGTTCACACGTATTGCGTTCGGTTACAAGTGTAACACATTAAGTCAAGACAACGCGAGCGATTGACCAAAATTGGCTTCACAATTGACTTGTTGGCCACTCCTGCTGTACAGTACATCATACTTATCCTGTTAACAATAAAGTCACACTGGTCACCTATCTAACCCTGTTTGAGACAAAATTTTTGAACTGAAATAATGTGACTTTCAGTTTGTTATTTTAATTCAAATTTTGTATATAGTTAATTAGGGCTTCCTGCCCCTAAACTTTTCATATCTGATCTTGACTTTATCTAACTCCGTTCTTGAGATTAATTAATTTAATTAAAGAAAAACTGAGACAGATGGACATCAGTGGGAATTTATAAGTCTGCAGCCCAAATACGAATGAGAATTATGCAATAAAAAATATTACCATAATAATCTGAAAACATTCAAATAACTGTTCTATGCCGTCAAATCAAAAAATGATTTATTCTGAAGCATTTTTGGAACAGTGTTCCATCAGCAATTTGGAAAAACTGCAAGATAAATAATGGATGACATATTCCAAAACTTTTTTGGTGTTTCTTGAATTAAGTTTTGTATTATTCTGAAATTAAGTAAGAGTTATTTCCTCTGGTAAAGATCGCTTTCAATAATATAAAATACGATTCTTATAAGTAATTATTTTCTTAATCATAGTCTTCTTTGTTGAATAGATTAAGTTCTTGATTCTGTGACTAATTCTTCATCAAGATTAACTCTTAATAATGAATTAGTCAAATTCTGACTTAAGCTAATGTTAGATGAGCCTGAAAACTGACACACTATTTTTTGATTCATGAAAATTCACATTGGCAAAGTTGGTAGTCAGACAAGTATAGAAATAAGAAAAAGCTAGTCATGGGCCTACCTTTTTCTTATTTCTGTCTTTATAAAGTTCAAATGAAGTTTCTAATAATTCTGGCCCATCATTAATTTGTATGATTAGTATGATACTTATATCAATGTGCATTTTTTTAAATACACAGGTATTGTACATCCTTCGGCAGGAACAACCAAAACGTCACTTCCTTTAAACAATGTTACCATGTCTGTCATTTTTTGCACTTGTCTAATGACTGTAGGCTTTGAATGTATCTCCCTGCGCACTATCATGATATTATCATGGACAAACCAGCAACCCATCCGTGCAACGCAGTGTCAATTTTCATGTCAATCTGACTGCTCCCATGGATTTTGCAATCCCGTGACAACCATCAAAAATGACGGTTGTGAAATCATGCTCATTTGATATTAGCCTTAGTGCCACCATTAGTTTGCCTCAAATTGATCCTAAATGAAGTGGATTATAAAACTGAAGGTTGCTTTACTTGGTTATGACAATATGACAATTGGGCAATCTGCCAAGGAGGATGCCTCCCAGGAGGACTTTTATGGGAAACTGGACCCTATTTAGGTGTTACTAACATGACGAAAACCCAGAAAATTCCATTGATTAGCCTGTTGGCCAGGTGCAAATCCACAACCAACTACCAGCATTTAGAGTTTTTATCCACTCAGCCACTACTAATGGTCTAAAATTGAAGGACCTCAAACATTAAAAATTACATATAGTAATGATTCATGACTTGGTGATAATGTCGTTTGCAATGCAAAATAATATGACAAAGATCCATTTGCAAATATACAATGGTAGTTTATGAAAGTAACACTATTTAAAAGGGTTCTATATTGAAATTTGATTGTATAAACAATATACTTATCAGCAGAATAAATGTAATGCTTCAGTAAAATATATATAATTATTTTAAAAAAATCTATATCACAACATTTTCATTGCAAATTAGTCACATAATTTTTAATACAGAATATACATGCATTGAAAAGTTGTCAGTTTTGGGATGGCGAATGTTCATTTTGGTACTCTGCCATCACATAGGGGAATGCAAAACGAGTCACATCATAGCAAAGGGTCCAGTGCACGACATGCAAAATGGGAGCATGTTACTCGTTTCCAGAGTGCCAATGAGTTTACAATGTTACCAAGCTCTATCACATCGAGACATTGTGAAACTGTACAAGAGTGCCTGCAAGTGGATATTACTTTGTCTCATACAAGATAAACAGCATGTGTAACAGGAGCAGAGAAGAGACCGTTTGACAGGTCACAATTCAGAGTCCAAATTAGTTGCTGACCATGTCATTTGTTAGTGTAACAAGACACTCCATACAACAGATCAAAGCTTGTGGATCAGTACTTGAGAATGTTTCCATACCACACATAGTGCCCCTATAAACTGCACACTATTCAAAATGGTGATCATGAGTTTCTTTTATATAGAAACCAACCTTCCAAATGCATGTTACATTTAGTAAATTCTGATTTCATTGTTTTAATTGCCACACATTTAATTTTATTACATCCAAAATGGAACATCCGGTATATATTTAGGTGTTTAATATTTACTGTGAAAATTTATTAAATAGATAATTGATGTGAACATTCTGCTGAGCAAACAATGAGGATTCATTAACATAAGAATCCAAAACGTCACACAAAATTAAATCACTGAATATTTTGAGTGGACTTGCACATAGAAAAAAAAATTATTGCTGTTTTAATATAACATGACATACATTAAGTTGATGAATATTAAAGATTAAAACCCAAAACACCTACATAGTGAATGACAGTGAAGATTTTTTTTTAGAGAAAAGAAGATTCAAAGTTAAGGGAATTCAATCACAAGCCTCCAAAACTGGAATATACACTTATATGAAAACTAGACACTCTTCCAGCAAATATGTATTGGAAGAAAATGAATGTTATTGGCTGCAATCAGGTATCAATTGTTACAGAACATTAGCAGAGATTCATGAGAATATCTGCTAATAGAAAATCATTGTAGATGAAATTCAACTTCATTGATTTATAATAGTTTATCATTAGATAAGTTATTCACACTCTTTTATTCTACTTATACTTTAATAAATTACAATAGAAAATATCTAGAAACAGTATCGATACTAAATTAAAATATAATTTATTAGCTTATAGTTGATCCAATAGCATTAGTAAGGTTGACAAGTTTATGTATTAAATATTTTGAACAGTGCCGACTCAACGGTACCTTCACCCGAGTTGAAACCAACTTTCGCAGTCTCTGCTTCCAGAACAGTTGCCAACAGAGCAATTCTAGCACCAGCACTCTTATACAAACTATTTATAAAGAAGCTTAAAGTATGTTTATGGGACTTCACTATATTCAGCTTATTTTTATTTATTTTTTCTGCTTTAAACTTTTCTTACTGCTTATTTTACCGCCCCTCTCATTTTTTCTGCTTGAAGTAGTCACCCGTCTCATCCGTCAAGCCAGACATGGTTTTAAAACACAGATAATTTTAACCATCATCATTTTGCTTACCACATGTATGAATGCACGTAGTTCATTCAAAACAGCGCAACATCGATCCAATTAAAATGCTTTTCCTAGGAAAATAATTGTAAAGAGACCAGAGTGCTCTCTTTATATATGAACTGTAGATAGATGCAAAACCCATAAACTATCAAGTATATTTAAAATTTTGTTCTGGTGAAAGTTTGAGAGTACTTTATATTAGATTTCATTCAAGGAGCTTCTTTAAGATGTATAATTTTATACTGCAAAACAGCAAAATACATATATTTAATTGCTCGTTGAACTTGAATATCAAAAGGAGGAAGAAAAAGTTTGAAATTTAAATGCATAGAGCAACAAATACAGAATAATAAGATAGTATTCTTTATCCTTCTGTTTATTATATAACTTGTTTATATATATCTTAATTTTGTATTATTGTATTATAGGTAATTATATAGAATACTAGCTGTATGTGTCCACATTGTTCAGGCTTTTGAGGGATGGGGAATTGGTGAGGTTGAGTTGGGAGAGAGTGATAAAAACAATGGTCTAAGTAAAATATATATTTGTTGAGTATTTACAATAATGAAACTGCAAAACATAAAAATTGCTGGGCTTAAGTTAACAGGAGCTGGAATTTAGTATTCGTCGGGAGAGATCCCCACAATATTTTTTCTATGACATCAAGGAATATTTGTGCCAAATTTGGTGCAAGTACATTGAACGGTACAGAAGCGGTATACATACATATTTTGACTTTATAAAGAGAATGTTCCACATACTGTACAGTACGTGTTTTGGGAGTGTCTAAAAAAAATATGCCTCTTTAATAAATATATATAATATAATATAATTACAAAAAAGCGGTAGAAGTTACTTTTAGTTACTTTGTTTATATATAAATACACGCACCAATTAACTAAAAGTAACTTCTACCGTAAAAAATCATACATCTTACCCATTCTAAAATGGCTTTTTCTTTATTTTGATGCAACATTTCGGAAATATTAACTAAAAAAAGTGCTTCATTAACTATTATCCACGGTAATTGACATCACTGTATTATAATTTTTTAATGTTTTCACGTAAACAACGTTTTCTGCTTACTTTCACTTAAAACAACTTTTAAATTTTTGAAATGTCGAAACTGCTCGACAGAAGCTCTATGACTGGTCAAAAAAATGTGACGTAATAATGAATAAGATTTAAATAGAATATTACCTAAAAATGATTTAAATACATTTTATTTCTTATTTCATTAAATAATTTAATTTAATTTAATTTTAAATAAGAGAAGTAAATATTTTAAAGTTATAATCTGTCGTTGTATATAAACGACGAGTAGTTTCACCTAGAGGACGCTCCATTTGATCACGTGCTTTTCGAAACGATCTTTCAGATCTGGCAACACTGGGCGAAATCGACAAGTAGACAACGTGGATACTCGTCAACAATATGGTGTTATGATTGCGTTGTTAGCAATCAGGCGCTTTTATTATTAATTAAAAGCGGAGAGGTCGACGACGGCAAGTACGCCCCATCAACGTAAACAGGTCACTTTGCCAATTCATTTTATTTCTTTGTTTATGTTGGTATTTGTTTATAAGTCATACACCAATGTTCTCTCTCTTAATTCTATTTACAATAGAGACATACATGCTAGACATGTCCAAAACACATGGAATATTTGAGAGGACACTCATTTAAAAACGCTATAAACAAAAAAATCATAGGACAATAGCAAATAGAGGTTAACAGCTGCCATTGCTTAGCTTGTCCTCTATTTGCTAATCGGAAACAACACCCGTATAATGAGTCTTATTAATAAACAAGGGACCTAGTAGACTGCATATGCACAGAAATTTAAACGAGTAAGGACGTAGAGGTAAAAGGAATAAATCAAGAGATGATTAGCAAGGTCGACTAAGTAGTTCGGTTTCTCATATTTGTGCGATAAATATCATTTGTAATGCTTAATGCAATTTATTTTTGAATTTGAAGAAGTTTTGGTAGCGTTCAAAGGTAATAGTAATCTGAATACTTTGTTACCAGACTACGTTTAGCTCATAAATTTAATTAATTGCTGTGTATAATTTGGGACTGTTAGGCCACCTTGTGCTGATATTAATAATGATTAAAAATTAAGTGTAAATCTAAATTTAGAAAAATATAGTGAAAAATTTGACTGAAGATACCAGCCTTAAAATTTCAAATTAATTAACAAAATGTAATGTTGATATTTAGATAGATATGTTTAGTTGGTTAAGGCATCAGTCTACCATTTTGACAATCTGGGATCGTGCCTGGGCATTGGAAAACTTTGTGGATTTTTCATAGATGGTCTATTGTGGATATATTGGGCTCTGCCTTTTGCTACCTGATTGTCCCATCTGTGGTCCTGGTGGAATTCTTGATGAGTGCAGTAAAAAAAGTCCTCTTATTACCATGCTTGAGAGTTAAGGGAAGAAAAGGAAAAGATGCATGAATGGGCAGTTTGATTTGTCTTTAATTTTAACCTTAAAATAACAAAATACTCCAAATAGGTCAATCTATGATTATATATACAGTATATACCTCGTATATATATTTTCTGTGCCTATTATTTTATTTTCCTATTTGCTAAATGCTTCTATAATATAAATAAATCTAATAATTAAATAATATTACTCTGCAATATCAAATGGTTAGTAACTTAAATCTCATAATTAACAAAATATTGCTTGATATTTTAACCAGGTTGGTTGAATATCATATTGCTTTAGTAATGTGAATACAATGCTATTTCTCAAAGTTGACTATTCATTTTAATATATTTAAGACATATTTTGCTTATTGATATTATTAATGTTTCAGATAACCAGAAATATCCTCCTGTTGCTCATTCTAGAAGAAGAAGAAGAGTTTTAAGCTTTGATTCTATTGACAAAGTGTATTGGCAAATCAACTTTTGATGTTACGTATACAAGATGTAGAATTTTGCCAGTTAGCAGATTTTGTTCATGCAATAATTCAATGCCTATTCACTATGACACTATACAATTAGTTACCTGAAAATATTTACCATTACCCACTTTTGTATTGACTAATTTTGGTTGCACTTAAAATTTATCTTTTGTGGATTAGTGACAAGCTTCAATAAGATTCCTGTAACATACCATAATTTTTTAAATAAAAATAATTAAAATTTACTACATTATTATTTTTTTGATTCTTTCACTATCCACATGCAATCAAGTTGATGATCTCTTTGACAATATCAATGATACATCAACTTTATGTAAAAGATAACAAATACACAATGCCTCCTAAAACCAAATTTATTTGGAGAGTTATTTTGAGTCCAATGTGAACTTTTTTATTCTCCCGAATTTTAATACAGTAACGGAATGTTGAGGAATTTTAATGCAGATTATGTACTCTGATTTTCTTTTTGAATTGATGATAGCAGGAAGTTGAGTGCATCAGCAATATAGTGATGATGCATTTTTGGAATTTGCAGTTACAATACCAATGAAGGAATAAAAATAGGTACAAGACTACAAATTTTAGCAAGGTTAAAATTTCAAATTGAAGATTATGATGTATGGATGTATGCATAAGACAATGAAGGAAATAATACTGATACTATTCGTGCATAGATGGGAGATTTCTCGATAAATCTAAAGAGTTATAGCCCGTTCTGGCTATTTATCATTTTTTGCTCTCGGGATTGAACATTCGTGTAGGATTTCTCGATAACCAAAAGTGTTTTCAAATACATGGCTCATTTGGTACAATGCTTTTCACATACAGAAGACGTGGTCAAGATTTCTTCAGAAGATTGTTATGTCATCACGGAGGATGATATTGAAGGTGAAGTTGACGACCAAATAGTCAAACATGAGTTCGAGTTTTGTACTTCCAGAGTGAATTTACCCGGATATAGTCTTTTCCTTTATCATCTATCCGCCTCCATTGTTGACCTGACCAAATCAATGATGAACACGAAGAAGCTCTCTCAATGTGAAAATAAGAAAAATAAGTAATTTTTATGTTAGCTGATTTTTTGCAGTCTTTTAAAGAAAAGTATATACATAAATAGGTATAGGTTTTTTTCATCAATGGAAAAGAAGGCAGGTTTGCTGTGCTATTGTAAACCTGCAGAAGAGGGAGCTTGAGGTCCAAAACACAAATACAGTGTGTGCAGGTGAACAATAAAGATTGTTTTTTCTGAATAAGTTTACCTCAATTTGCAGAAATAGAACACCAGTACAATAAGACCTAATAATACGATATATCCTAGTAGACATTTAGATAATAAAAAGTTTATTATAGTTTTGCACTGTAATCTCGTTTTATCATATTTTTCTCGTATAAAAATATAGTGGAAATCATATAAATTTATAGTTCTTTTAGTATTGTGTATATACCAAGTCAAAAGTTTCATGGAGAGAACTTTTGAAGAAAAATGTAGCAAGTACTTGCAATATATCTAGTTTACAAGGAGATTGAAAGGGTGAATACAAATACAGACACTAGCAGGAGTCGTGTATTTTTCCGCATCCACGGACACTACGTTATTGAAAAGAGTAGTATATAAAGTAACTAATTTTTTTAAATTAATATCCCCGCAGGGAATGGGCTGCTCCTAGAAACAGTGCAATACCAGGTCAACCCGCGGCGAGGGTGGAGCAAGCTACACCCAATACACCTCGTTTCAAAAATCAGAATAATATCGAAGCTTCCGATGGAAGCGCATCAGATATTAAGCTGATGAGAACGGTAATTACACATCGATCAAAGCCAAAAGGCGAGAAGCGATAACGATGGTTCCCAAAACTTCGGGGTATTCTCCACACGAATTTCTTACCACCGGTGTCGATCGTTTATAATTTGAAAACAATAATACCATTTTCTTATAGTGTGAATTTTTTCATTATCAATGCATTAAAATTATAAATTTTATCGATTTACTCAAAGACAATTATTTTTACATTTATATACTACTCATTTTGATAAAATTATGGCAATTACATTTTATTTTCGATTGCCAATAGATGGCACTACGCGTAGTATTTGTATTAATGTTATGCTAATTAGGGTTTCTTTCCCGGGATTCCCTACGAGAAAAATCCTGGGAAATTTTATTTTCCCGGGAAATCTCGCATTTCAATAATAATTTATCATGTCAGGTTTTCTTTCTATTATTTATTATACGAAAAGTTGCATCTTGAAGACTCGCCTAAGAAAGAATTTTTGAGGTTTCATGCTGCATACTATTACCTATGTTTTACAAGTCTCTACTTGTTAGTTCATGTAATATCTATGTATTGTGTTTGCGTATCATTGAACAGCGGAGCACTCGCTGAAAGTAAATATCATTCATCGCAATTTAGTTTATTTTTTATTTCATCTTTAGAAGTAAAATAGTATTTTTTTTTTTTCGTAATCATTGAAACTCCCAATGAAACGCTTTATTTTACTTTCATCTTATAATGTAGGAAAACATAAATTAATTGAGCCTAACGTGTCCGTATGGGTGAGATTGGCCCTATACTTTTAGTTACTTAATAGAAAATAAATTAAATTATTCAAATTTATGATATTCCTGTATGATCTTTTTTATTCATATAAAATTCCACTTTACTATCTCATCCCGGAATTTCCCGGGATCCCGAGAAAAGAAATTATTTTTCCCGTAATCCCGCTGGAGGCAAATTTCCCGGGAAATGAGAAACCCTAGTACTCACCCTACGTTTTCGTTCTAGGGACAACTGCTCCCGACAGGGCGGCGTTCCGGTCGTCTGGTAGGCACAGGTCAGGATACCAATGTCCCCTATGAAGCCGCCATATTGAGTTCTTAGTTCCTAAGTCATAGTACAGATTTCATGCTATGTACTGTATGTGTAGTACATAGCATGTAATCTATACCCTGACCTGGCTTTTATAACTTCATATTGTATTACATTATTTGTATCAGATTATGAAATTATAAAAGCAATAATAATTATAACTACACGGCCACCCGGCCGTGACCGTTATTTCTTAAAAATTACGTTAAAAATAAATATATAATTTACAATCTGAATAAATTCATTAATTTTTAAAATTATTTATTATTTAAAATTTAACATTCGAAACCATCATACCATTGCGTAATTAAATTAGAATTATTTAAAAATAAAAGAATCGGGCAATTCGTTTCGAAGAATTTTAGAATTAAATTAAAGAGAAGAAAAATGGACCAGTTAACAGATGAACAAATTTCGGAGTTTAGAGAAGCTTTTTCCTTATTCGATAAGGAAGGGAATGGCACCATAACTGGTAAGGAGCTTGGTACCCTGATGCGGTCCCTCGGGCAAAATCCAACCGAAGCTCAGTTGAAGGCCATGATCCAGGATCTACAAAATTCGGGAAGGGATCAAATCGATTTCCCACTTTTTCTAGAACTGATGGCCAAACAGATGAGGGAAGCCATCAGCGAGCAAGAAATCAGAGATGCCTTCAAGATTTTCGATCGAGATAACACGGGCTATATAATAGTTGCCGAACTCCGCCATGTTCTTACTAATTTGGGTGAAAAATTGACTGATGAAGAAATGGACGAGTTGCTTCGCGAAGTGGAAATCGATAACGAAGGAAGAATCAAATATCAGGAATTTGTGGACATGGTCACTTCGAAATAAAATCGATATTTAATGCCAATATATATGAACTTTATGTATTATAAAAGTGAATTCCGGCTTCCTAAATTCCAAAATTATAGTTTATAAAGTGATTTATGTATTATAAAACGTTTGATTTTTAGTAAAAAGTTTTAAATTATTAGTGTTAAAAACTATGGTTTATTATGTATTATAAATGGTTAGTGTGTTTGGGATATCAAGTTAACAAATTAATTAATCAGTTTAAAACTGTTAGGTTATGCCTCCAAAAATTGAAAAATATATACGCGAGATATTTTCCATTGAAAAATAATACATTGCTGATCAATAAGCATGAAATCGGCCGATTCAAAACTGATATCCTCGGATCCTCGGTGCCACTTTTACTGCGTTGTACTTGCACGTCTATAGTTTAGATACACCTAAACTGCGAACACAGCGGGCCTCTACAAATTTATTCATTTATTTCTTTTTAAAGGATTCTGGGGTAACGATTTTAAGACACTGGTTGAATAACATGGCGTGCATTCGAACCACAACCGTAATCATTTACATATCTATTTGGAGACATTGCTGTAGTCGGACAGTTTTATATAGGTGCATAACTTTTTTGTCAATGAGTATAATTATATTTATACACGCGGCAGTTTATTCTATTGTAATTATATAGCATTTTAAGTTATGCAACACAAGTAATAATTTCATTTCGGGACTTTTCTCCTGTCACTCTAAATCTCCCTTAATTTGTCTATGAATGCTGACGCCGAGGCATTCAGACTCAAGTAATATTTTAAACGGTGGCAGGCCCCCAAAGTTGAAGGCTAAAAGTAGCTCTCTACTTTCGGTGGGGCCCGACATCACTTAAAATATTGGAGGACTGAATGGACTCCGGATCCTTAGATACTTTTTTTAATTTTTCAATCCATTACAATATAAGACTCGCTGTTTCTGGGATAATCAGTTTGTTTTAATAAATAAAACTATGAAAATATATCTAAAACAGGTTTGCTGTGTTTCAAAACTTTAATGGCTATTTCCTCCGCCAAATAATAATAAGTTAAACCTTTAAAGTTCTAAGTTGTAGCTTGTTTAGTTAATTGCAAATCCTGTCCTGATGTTTCTGAAAAAAGATGATATTGAATAAAATCATTATTTAGTGTCATAAATAATTCAAGAACACTAATAATTTAAAATTTTTTACTGAATATTAAACGTTTTTTAATACATAAATCGCTTTTAAACTGTAATTTTGGTTTTTAGGAAGCCGAAATTCACATTTATAATCCATAAAGTTCAAATACACTGGTTTTAAATAATGATTTTACTTCGAAGTGACCATGTCCACAAATTCCTGATATTTTATTCTTCCTTCGTTATCGATTTCCACTTCGCGAAGCAACTCGTCCATTTCTTCATCAGTCAATTTTTCACCCAAATTAGTAAGAACATGGCGGAGTTCGGCAACTATTATATAGCCCGTGTTATCTCGATCGAAAATCTTGAAGGCATCTCTGATTTCTTGTTCGCTGATGGCTTCCCTCATCTGTTTGGCCATCAGTTCTAGAAAAAGTGGGAAATCGATTTGATCCCTTCCCGAATTTTGTAGATCCTGGATCATGGCCTTCAACTGAGCTTCGGTTGGATTTTGTCCGAGGGACCGCATCAGGGTACCAAGCTCCTTACCAGTTATGGTACCATTCCCTTCCTTATCGAATAAGGAAAAAGCTTCTCTAAACTCCGAAATTTGTTCTTCGGTTAGCTGCTCCATTTTTCCACCTTTTTTCTTTTCTTTAATTCTAAAATCCTTCGAAACGAATTGCCCGATTCTTTTATTTTTAAATAATTCTAATTTAATTGCGCAGTGGCATGATTGTTTCGAACGTTAATTCTTAAATAATAAATAGTTTTAAAAATTAATTTATTATTTAATTAATGATTTTATTCATATTAAAAATTACAAATTTTATTTTGATATAATTTTTAATACAGGGTATTCCCCTCGAACGTTCCTAGTTCCTCGGACCTTGTTCAAAGATGTGAATAAAATGTGTTGGAAATATTGGTCAATATTCCACGTTTCGTGTACTTACGCTTGAAAGAGTCGCTGTCTCACAGTGTCGATATGGATCTTCACTGCCGCGCGGTGTAGATCGCCTTGATCCCATTTCTTGGCCCCCCGCCATACTCTGAAGTTTTTGCTTTGTGGGCATGTCATGTGTATGCTACAAAGTGCCAGACATGAAAGCCTCGGGTGCAAGAATTGCGGGTGCCATTAACATCATGATTTACAACGTGATGGTCGGAGGTGGGCTAAAATCAAGTACAGGCCAAGAGCATACATGGGAATGTATTGACTAAATTTTTCAGATGCACTTTCTGTTACCATTCTGTACTCACGTTTATTTTTTCTAAAATTTATCTACAAAACTAGGGACGTTTGAGGTGAATGACCGATTAACCTCGCGTTTTTAACTCCTTTTATCCCTTTCATCTAACATAGACCTTTTTAGTTCAGGATGCTTTATATCTACTCTTTCTTCGTGCAGTCTATAGTTGTAAAATTGTATGTACAAAGAAGAATTCTGCGCCAATTACCTTTGCAAATTAATCGTTTACTGATCAAAGTTTAGTAGCGTTTAATACATTAAGAATTTAAAGTAGTGCATTATATATTACATGCAAGTTTTCTCGTACAGTTACATTATTATACTACAGTATATTAATACTCTCAAAGACAGTATATCAAAATTTATATTTGCTGATACTTTCAAGTTTAATTTACTTAAATAAAAAATATATATATAAATATATGTATATAATAAATGTGAAATTGATAAAGTTTCTTCTTGATATGGTCCAAAATAACCTAACTTAGCATCTGTATTTGTAAGTGATCAATGGAAATTATTGGTTTATATCTTTAAAAATACACACACTTTTATGTAAATTAGACTAGAAGAACAATTGGTTCAAAAAGCATTTATAATTCTTCATCTGCTAAGTGATTATCTTTGCTTACACTTTATATTAACTCTACCGTATATACTGTACAAGCCGAGACTAAGAAAACAAATTGAACTATGAAAAATAAAGTTAGAACACAATCATTATCTATTCAAATTATAACCTGCGCTTTGTTAATACCGACAAAATTATATTTTGTCGGTATTAACAAAGGGATTTATGCAACCGGCTTGTACACACTTTATGATACTCGTGCAAAAGTTTATTTAATTATAATCATTTATTGATAAATAGTAATCAAATGTTATTGCTTTACCTGAAGCTTAATGTTTCTGACACACTCTTGTATTGAGATTCATTTTATCCGTATTGAAATTTTTCCGGTTAATTCTTGAGAGCCATGCAGATTGCCTCCTCGGTTTGGGGTCCTTGATGACAAATAATGCTGGAAATTTAAAAAAAATGATATTCCTTTGTTCTTAAGTGAATTAGCATCAAACCCAATTACATAACAATTTACCGTAGTGATATTCGCGACAAATAAACAACACAAGAGCTCCAGCTAAAGAGCGCGTAAACACAAATAAGGGGCCGGACAATCGTTCATGACGTTACTCGTGATGTCGACTTGAAACCTTTCTATACTGGGCCGTGTTCAATAACATAGAATTCTGAGTTAGGCTGTCACGATACTGAACGATAATTGTAAGAACTCTCACTCGTTTACTCAGACTACTTTTAGTAGATTTACTATTGTAAATCTACTAAAAGTACGCCCCATTTTGGACCTGGCCGAACCCATAATGGGCTTACAAAAAGAGGCCCTCTTAGTGCCCACAGGGAGGAAAGAAATAGCGGCCGGATAGCCGAGCGGTCAAGGTGGCAGCTTACCGCTCTGAAGAACCCGGGCTCGAATCCGAACGGGTCGAAAAAGCCCCAGAAATTTTTCGGGGGTGGTCCGTTCGGATATGTCGGGCCCCGCCCCTCACCACCTTTGGCAGCCCCATTGTGGGCCTGGCCGAACCCATAATGAGTTTGCAAAAAGAGGCCCACTTAGTGCCCACAGGGCGGAAAGAGTTATAAAAAAAAGTAGAAGAGAAAAGTTGGCGCAAAGTATTAAAAAGTAAAATTTAAAACATTTTCTTAAAATAGGCAACTAAAAATCATTTTAAAAAAAATAAATAAAAGAATTTATAAAAATATATTTTAAATTTTTTAAAAATTAGTTTAATTCATCTGGCAACACTTATGTCTCGGTGCACGTTTTAACAAGATGGAGGACACTGACGATCTGTTTGATGTTTTCGAAAAAGAAAGTAAACAAACCATATGCAAGAAAGATAAGGAGAGTAGCAAGAAAGCAGAAATTTCGGAATCGGATGTTATTAGGTCAGTTTTAAAGGAAAAACGAAGCTTCAGTGAGGTGGATGAAGATGATGATGAAGACGATGACGATGAAAAGTGCTCTAAAAAGCAAAAGATAGCTTTAGCTGATATAAATATAGAAGAATGTTTACCAAGAATACAAATACACACTGTTCAAACTGTGGAAGCATGCCTTCATGAAGTAGCTGTACCTCATAATGAAGTATATAAAGCATTAACTTCGTCATCCGGTCAACCAGCAAAGGAGTATCCATTCATCCTAGATCCATTCCAGAAAGAAGCTATTTTATGCTTAGAAAATAACCAGTCCGTTCTCGTGTCAGCTCACACTTCGGCGGGAAAGACCGTCGTTGCCGAATATGCCATTGCCACATCTCTGAGAGACAAGCAGCGTGTTATCTACACGACGCCCATTAAAGCTCTCAGTAATCAGAAGTACAGAGAATTTTATGAAGAATTTAAAGATGTGGGACTGATGACGGGAGACGTAACGATAAATCCGTCTGCGAGTTGTCTGATAATGACTACGGAAATTCTCAGAAGCATGCTTTATAGAGGATCGGAGGTCATGAGAGAAGTCGGTTGGGTCGTTTTCGACGAAATTCATTATATGAGAGATAAAGAGAGAGGTGTCGTGTGGGAAGAAACAATCATTTTATTGCCAGATAGTGTACATTATGTATTCTTATCTGCAACAATTCCTAATGCTAGACAGTTTGCAGAATGGGTTTGTCACTTGCATAAGCAACCTTGTCATGTCGTATATACTGATTATAGACCCGTGCCGCTTCAACACTACATATTTCCCGCTGGTGGAGACGGTTTGCATCTTGTTGTAGACGATAATGGAAACTTCAGGGAAGAAAACTTTAATACAGCTATGTCGGTACTTCAGAATGCTGGTGATGCGGCTAAAGGTGATGCGATTATGAAAGGAAGAAAAGGAGGATTTAAAGGAGAATCTAATTGTTATAAAATTGTCAAAATGATTATGGAAAGAAATTTTGCACCGGTGATTGTTTTCAGTTTTAGTAAAAAAGAATGCGAAGCATATGCTTTACAAATGTCAAAATTAGATTTTAACACTAATGAAGAGAAGGAATTAGTGGAAGAAGTATTCAATAATGCTATGGATGTATTATCGGAAGAAGATAAGAAACTCCCTCAGGTAGAACATGTTCTTCCACTGCTTAAGAGAGGAATTGGCATTCATCATTCTGGACTGTTGCCAATATTAAAAGAAACCATAGAAATTCTGTTTTCAGAAGGACTGATAAAAGCTTTGTTTGCTACGGAAACATTTGCCATGGGTTTAAATATGCCAGCGAGGACAGTTTTATTCACCAGTGCTCGCAAATTTGACGGAAAAAGTTACAGATGGGTCACATCTGGTGAATATATTCAAATGAGTGGTAGAGCTGGTAGAAGAGGATTGGATGAAAGAGGGATAGTAATTCTTATGGTTGACGAAAAAATGAGTCCTTCGGTTGGTAAAGAAATAGTGAAAGGTTTACCGGATCCAATTAACAGTGCATTCCATTTAACATATAACATGGTGCTTAACTTATTAAGAGTTGAAGAAATAAATCCAGAATATATGATGGAACGATCTTTCTTTCAGTTTCAGAATTATGCTGCCATTCCACAACTTCTTGATAAATTAAAAGTACTACAAAAGGAACATGATGAAATAAAAATTCCTCGTGAATCCGAAATAGGAACATACTACAAAATACGACAACAGTTGGGCAATTTAAGTAAAGAATTTCAGGAATACCTCATTAAACCGCAGTATTGTGTTCCCTTTATGCAGCCAGGTCGCATGATACAAGTAAAAAATAACGATAACGATTTTGGTTGGGGAATCATCATAAATTTCCAGAAAAAGCAGACTAAAGATAGTAGCCTAACTGAACCAGAATATACAATAGATGTATTAATTCATGTCAGTAAAGAAAGTGCAAAAAATAAACTCACTTCGTCGTTAAAACCACCACCTCCCGGCGAGAAAGGCGAAATGCAAGTCGTTCCCATAAGGATGCACTTAATACAACAAATTAGCTCAATTCGTTTGTATTATCCTCAAGATTTGCGACCATTAGTGAATAGGATGTCTGTGCTGAAATCTATTCAAGAAATACATAAAAGATTTCCCGACGGTGTACCTTTGTTAGATCCCATTGAAGATATGAAGATTAAAGAAAGTGGCTTTAAGGATGTGGTACGAAAAATTGAAGCATTTGAACAAAGGTTATACTCTCATCCAATACATAATGATCCCCAATTAGAAAATTTATACAGTTCTTATATTAAAAAAGTGCAGATAGATATTGAAATAAAAAATGTCAAATCAGAATTGAGAAAGGCTCAGAGTTTATTACAAATGGAAGAATTAAAATGCAGGAAACGGGTGTTAAGAAGAATGGGCTACAGTTCGGCTGCCGACGTAATCGAATTAAAAGGAAGAATTGCTTGTGAAATAAGCAGTGCAGATGAATTACTATTGACGGAGATGATTTTTAATGGCGTTTTCAACGATCTGAACGTCCATCAAGCTACGGCATTACTGTCTTGTTTTGTGTTTCAAGAAAAGTCTAATGAAATGCCAAAGTTAACGGACGAACTTTCAGGACCACTGAGACAGATGCAAGAAATGGCACGTAGAATCGCACACGTCTGCAAAGAAGCGAAATTAGTTTTGGACGAAAGTGATTACGTTGAATCTTTTAGACCCCATCTGATGGATGTCATTTACGCATGGAGCAAGGGAGCAAATTTTGGACAAATCTGTAAAATGACTGACGTATTTGAAGGTAGCATTATCAGATGCATGCGCCGTCTAGAAGAATTACTCAGGCAGATGTGCCAGGCTTCAAAGTCCATTGGAAATACGGCTTTAGAAAATAAATTTTCCGAAGCAATCAAATTAATTAAGAGAGACATTGTATTTGCAGCGAGTTTATACTTGTAAAAACTAAGAAATCGAACTGTGCATTGCAAAACCAAAGTTTGTTTATTCTAAATGCAACCTTTTGATTCAACAGTTAAATCATTTCCATTATTATGAAATTAGTATCTTAATTAAAATATGTATCGAGCCATTTGCATTTTTCAAAGTAAGAATGAATAGCATTAGCTAACTTAAATATTTTATTTTAGAGTAAGTATTAACTCTAGAATTTAACAAAAACATTATTTTATGTTGTTTTCTCTTAAAAGCAATTATATATGCATGTTTTTAAACTATCAAATTATTTTTTCGTATTAATTATGATTGATTTATTTATTCCATGTAAATAAAATTTGCATAAATAAATAAATAAACTGTGGTTTTGAATAAATATGATCTATTTAGTGAATGTTTTATTGCATTTTTAGTTAAACGATATGCTGAAAAATTTTAGTTTAGCCATTTTTAGTTATGTTATATATCGGGTTTAGCGACGTTTGTTTGCATTTTTAGTAATTACTAGCTGCAAGGACCCGCTTCGCTGGGTTTTTATTTGTATGTAATATAGTTTTTTTTATATATATATAAAAGACTGTTTTTCTAAGTAATCTAGAATCTATCTGCAAGGACCCGCTTCGCTGGGAAAAACTAACGATAGTGAAGATTGAGATAATTACATTATAGCTAATCTTACCCATTTTCACAGAATGCAAGAATTAGGTCCCCCGTTTCCAGACTAATTAGAGAATTTTTACGTTTAATCAAATGAACTATTTTCAACGTTTCTGGAACGTTTACAATCGTTCTATAATCAAACCAATATTCGAATTTTATGTTCGAACAAAACATTCGAAATAGAAAGCCACTTTCAACCACTTTCAGCCTCATATCTCCCGCACCCTTATAGCTATCGAGACGCAACCACCCCTATGCACGAATGGAGACTTGGGGCTACTACCACATACAAACACCATTCACGTGTGATGTGTAGTTTTGGCAAAAAAGTGAAATATAGGGACATACATGTCCATTTATATATATATATATATATATAGATTAAGTAGTAATTGCTTATTTTCACTGTAGTTTTCATACATGGCAAATTATTTAATAGAATGTACAGTTATACTCATGGATGGGGTTGGCCAGGATGGACAAGGAATAGGGAATGATATTTATATATTAGTAAAATGTAGAATAGCTTGTTGCATATTAAAATTTCATAAAAATGAGACTAAAAGCATTGTTTTTTGAATTTTTTAAGATACAGCAAAGATATTTTACATTTTACTGATCTCGTCTAGTGTATTAGAAAGTCAATTCACTAGAAAATGTATTTTAGTCAATCATTTTTATTTTAAAATTTACCATTTAGCCTTTTCATTCTTTAGTTACTAAAAGAAGCCCCAGTTGAGTCTCCACCTTACTGTGGAGATTAGGTGATGTATATTGCGATATCTTGGGTTTTTCTCATGAGTACAAAGGCCATTCCAGCTAAGAGGGACCAGCAAATGATTATGATTTAGAGAAAGCTTTCTTGTCATTTGCCTATTTGATAAGTTCATTGGGTTGGATCTGCCTTGCACGCAATCTGGCAATACATTCTTGGAAACAAAAAAATCAGTTAATTAATTGAAGTAATTAATTTTCTCCTATTATTCATTGACTTTTTGTATACAAAATAATGAATAAACAATCTTGTTCGTCAAGTTTAAATTTGCAATTTGGAAATCCAACATGCTGATGACGAACTCAAAAATGTTTATTAAATAAAAGTTTAGTGCTGATATCTATAGAAGGTTTACTCATTGTTTTAAATAAATTAAATTGGCATAGAGAAATTCTGTATATTCTTCATTTCAGAGTTTTATGTGCTAATGTTAATAAACTCCCAATACAGCAAGGTATTAAGCATTAGAGACAGTGGTGCCTTTAAGTTATAAAAGAAGGACATCGTACATCATGCAAGAAGCTTCAATCTCCATGGTTTAACATTGGATCAGCAATCCCACAAGGTGGTTCTAGATGCACTCGGGGCTAACTTGGCCTCGAAAACAAGGAATGTGGTTTGAACATCATTTGATAAAGTGCATGGTACCATGGTTAGATATAGTTCATTAGTTACTTTTATATGTGCAGAATAGTCTAGAAGTTATGCATTTTCTGTTTGTGGAATTTGGAGCCTTCTCGGGGATTAGGAAGAGGGACATTCATTAATTACATGCCCCAAGTGACCAAATGTATGGATGCTTCTAATTAGATATGCAATATATATGATTATGAATAATAATTTTCAATTTAATAAAATCTTTGAGAAAGTCATGATGTATCTCATGACTTTCTCAAAAGACTTCCTTAATTAATAATTTAAGCATGTAATTTTTCACCAGATCAAATTTAAATATTTTAATAATCTATAAAGGGTAGCCAAACCCTGTCACAATAGGATATATATATATATCCTATCGTGACATGGTTTTTGCATATTTCTGATAAGCGATATATATATATCGCTTATCAGAAATATGCAAGAGCCACATTCTCATTTCAAATGTTCAAGCTGAAACCTCGGTTTACAATATGACAACTATAGTCTTACTCATTCTTTCCCGCAGATAATTTCAGTCTTGCACTAATGTTTTTGACTTTCTTGAGATGTTTTCCTCAGTCTTTACCATTCCAAATTCAAATAATCAAAGAGATTCTTTGACTATTCAAATTTGCAATGGTAAAGACCCAAGGAAGATACCTCATTCTCTATTAGAACAATATTATATATACAGTATATATAAAGTTTAAGTTTATAAAAAGAAATTGTATAGGCTGTATAGAAGTCAGAGTAAAGGTCTAGAACTGCCACTTGTGGCTTGTGAGCTGCAGTTTGGCCACCGTGGATCTATAATGTAGCTTACAACAATAGTTTCAAAGTTTAGTCACCAATTAATTTGAGTCATGGATGATGTGAATTACCTGTGTCTTTATCCACATCTTATCATGTTTATAAAAAGAAATTGTATAGGCTGTATAGAAGTCAGAGTAAAGGTCTAGAACTGCCACTTGTGGCTTGTGAGCTGCAGTTTGGCCACCGTGGATCTATAATGTAGCTTACAACAATAGTTTCAAAGTTAAGTCACCAATTAATTTGAGTCATGGATGCTGTGAATTACCTGTGTCTTTATCCACATCTTATCATGTTTATAAAAAGAAATTGTATAGGCTGTATAGAAGTCAGAGTAAAGGTCTAGAACTGCCACTTGTGGCTTGTGAGCTGCAGTTTGGCCACCGTGGATCTATAATGTAGCTTACAACANAGTATGTACCAAGTTTATAAAAAGAAATTGTATAGGCTGTATAGAAGTCAGAGTAAAGGTCTAGAACTGCCACTTGTGGCTTGTGAGCTGCAGTTTGGCCACCGTGGATCTATAATGTAGCTTACAACAATAGTTTCAAAGTTAAGTCACCAATTAATTTGAGTCATGGATGCTGTGAATTACCTGTGTCTTTATCCACATCTTATCATGTTTATAAAAAGAAATTGTATAGGCTGTATAGAAGTCAGAGTAAAGGTCTAGAACTGCCACTTGTGGCTTGTGAGCTGCAGTTTGGCCATTATAGGTATATAACTACATCCAGACTCATTTATTCACCTGCTTACTCACTGATGTGAAATGTTTGAATATATGAAGAATTATTGCAGAAAAACAAAATGAAACAGTTAGGAGAGAATATCAAGTACATTACCAGAAAAAACTCAAACATCAAAAAAGTAAAATATTTGTTCTTACAAGATGTCAAAGTTCTACTCTTTACATCTCATAGAGCATCATAATGTCTAGTAGTTAATTAATTTAAGTGTTATCTGCCTATTTTTTTAAAATTTAAGGTAAATTAATGATGTAACAATAAATATAATTTTAAATTATAGTATATACAACAAAACTGCTTAGTTCAGAAATTCAAATATNTAAGTCACCAATTAATTTGAGTCATGGATGCTGTGAATTACCTGTGTCTTTATCCACATCTTATCATGTAAAAATCACATTAGGTACATACCAAAAACAAAAATTTTACATATTCAGTAACTTAAACAATAGAATGTGTTTGGAATTGGCACAATTGTATTTAATAGAATTCTTTTAAATTAGGAAAGGAGCTTGAAAATACTCAAAATGTTTTACATTATATTGTTCTATTTATAATTCTGGTTTGTTTTTAATAAATTTTGCAGTAATGAAAGTGTTTATTTACAAAAGTAATGAAAGTTTTTATTCCCCATTTCATTTGAAATGGATTGTCATTGACTTCCTTATTTGGTTGTATTAAAGCCGCTTTAGCGAGCAACTTACTTTATGTCATTATTAATGCTTGTGTTGAAATTCGTATATATAAATTATACAAATCACAGTTTTATTTCAAAAGTTTATTAAGTAGAAATAAGTTGACAAAATATAAGCTTACAGTAAACAAATTTAGAAACTTATATATAAACATTTTATCATTCATTTCTAATGAAAACTTTCATTATTTATAAAATCTAAATAACTCTAAGACAATCAGTTTTCAAACTTTCAATCTTTTATATGCTAAGATTAATTTTATTCAGATTTTTCATATACAAGTACATTAATTTAATAGTTGAAACTTTAAATTTTGTATATGAAGTTGCAATTAATTTGAAGTTGCTTTTAATGCATTTCTGGAATGCTGCATTTGTTAAAGCCGGTAATTTTCTCGTAACTTTGAAAATCCAAATAAAAATGGTATGTATAGTAGTACGTGTATATAAAAATTTATAGTACCTTATACAAAATGTGTTTATATACAAGGCACATACAATACTAGAAGTATGTATATTGTGCAATTGAAAGTGCTCTCTCAAGAGTAAAATCATCTTAGAAATTTCAAACGTGCTTTTAGAATTGTGCACCCATCATCGAGACTTAACATGAGAAATGAGGATCAAGAGATGTTGCATTGTAATGATTCTCATCCCACACCGAGTTGAATACAAATAAAACGAGACTATCCTTACGAGTACTTCTGCAATACAAATGGGAAAGTTAGCACATATCACAAGCATTTTAATAAATTTGTGTTGCAGAGGAACAACCTGCAAGGATACATCTTTGTTTTATTTATTCATTTTTGGGGCCATCAAGAGGAGAAAGCTGGGAATTTTTGTCTGGTCTCAGAGAAAACTTAGTTTGTTCCTGCCTCATACAAGCTTTCAGCAACCCTGTTCATTTTCATCTAGTATAGGATGTAGCTAGTCTGGGGTGTAACAATTAGCCTGCAAACCCTGTAATCCAGGGGTTTGGCAATGTTTGAGGCCCACAGCTAAAAGAAATTTTTAAGTTGTCAATAAAATGTGTGTAAAATTTAATATGGAAACTTCTTTAAAGAGATTTTCTTTTTATTAACAAAGTCTAATCTAAAACTTTTCTTATGGATGGGTGTGTGTTTTCGTATAGCTAACCAAATACTGGTTGTTTGGCTATATTTTATGCCATCACTTCCAGTTTATATTGCTTTTAGGTAAACACACTGTGTTTCTATTAGTAAACAGCATTATTGACAACCTATTAGCTTCTTGTTAGTTGTTTCTGTTAAAATTGACTGACGAGAGGACATAAAAGCACTTAATAGAAACTGTTCCGTTTAAATGAAAATGCAAAATCATATCTTTAAAATAATTACTACAAACAATTTTCTTTTCACTTTACAATAACTAAGTCCCAAGAGACCTATATTCCTCAACTATGTAAAGGAAATACTTGTTTATCTGTGATGGCTTTAACAGAAATGCAGAAAAATTCCCTACTTGTTTTTACAGATATCATTAAGTTTCATTAAGTTAAATAACATAACTTGACTATATAATTTTATATGAAATTCTCGATAGGAAATCTTTAATAAGAAGGAATTAAAAAAACAGCAAATACAGTGGACTCCGGTAAAACATGGAGATATTTTCCACATTATAGGAAATCGTATTCTCGAGACCTGCATTATCAGACGATTTTATGCAATTTTAAACCTGGTCTTAGAAGCTGAAGAAGAAAATGCATACCTTTGCATGACGAAATGCAAATTTCGTATGAATACTAGTTGCAATTTTTTCAACATTTTATTTGAATTTGTGTTATATCGGAGTTCAATGTAATTTATTTGAATTTAAAATAAATTTTCAGTTATCGATGATATTGATATTAATATTAATATTGAAATTTTCTCATGGATTTACAATAGGTAAAAGGTGGGTTCTTCAAAAAGTTTTCAGGGGCTTTACAGTTTTCTGTTTTACACTGCTGCTAGTAGTAATCTTAGTCTCCTCTTGAACTATACATCTCTTATTGATTCTCAATGAGAAGCATAAGCTTGAAAGTGTTACAATTTTGTAAAAGTTTTTGCTCCAAATAAAACACTTTCAAGTGGATTTACGCACGAGGAGTTTCATTAACAAATGTATAAATTGTGCACATATACATAATTCTTAATTTTGTTTTTTTATAAAAAACACAGAAAACATAATCTTTACATATTCTGAATAATTTTAAATATAAATCTTTTTTTCGTTTGGAATTTTTAAATAAAATTGTTCGTGATGCTTGATTTATTTCTCATTTTAACTTCTTATTCGGGATAGGAATGTGTAGGTACAACCGAAAACATCAATTGAAGAAAATATGTAACTTTATCTAAAAGTAAAAATATTTCATTAGTATTATTATAAGATAAATTATTCAAAATCATTTTTAGTAATATTAATGTGTAGCCTATACAGGATGCATAGTAAAGTCCACATACACCAACATGTGTGTAATGTACAACATACAGAACACAGTAACAAATTTAGCACAAAGACAGAAAAATAAAAAATACACACTTTACTGTCTGTGCTTGATGTCTACATTAGCATTTCAGGCTTTTTATGCATATTATTCATGTACCATAGAGTGTTCTTTAGTACTGAATCAGTTGTGCTCTATAACTTTTTAATTGACTTTTTTTTCTATATCTGACTTTAACATTTTCATGAGAGAAGTGTGAACTTCTGAATTTTAGGAGTGCTGCAAGTGGACTTGTCTTATAGTGTATAGTCACTTTACTACAACTATACATCACATTCATAATTTTAGTTATCTGCATTGGTGAATTACATGGGTGTATAAACACTACTGTGCACCCTGTATAAAAATAAAATTAAGGAATTGATTTTGGTAGAAAATTTTCTTTTGTCCCCAATTTACTCTGTTCTGGGACTTTTCAATGAATACCTTGTGCTTAGTCTTGACTGGATGGGGAATGCTTATTCATGTAGCAACACAAATATGTTGAGGGCATTAAAGTAAGAACTCGTTCAGTAAACGGTTTTGGTGAACATGTTCATACCATATAACATAAGGTGACCAGACATCCCACTTTTGGCAGAACAGTCCTGATTTTTAACAATTTGTCCCATGTCCTGTGGCATTTTAAAAAAGTCCAGAGTTTTGGAAAGATTATGACACAATTGATAAAAACTTAAACTTATGTCATGTTTAAGATTCGTAAAGATAATTTTGTATCACATGCATCAGTACCAAGATGTGCGCAAACATCGGAAATAAAGAATGCTGCGCCGTCAAAATCCTTTGTGTTCATGGCAAAGACCAACAGAAAATGGTTCGGGGTGCGCAGCTGCAGCAATGGAGCAGCGTGTGTTCACCGGCTGTCCAAACAAATTAACATTTTGTTTGTTGCATGTTACATGTTGTCTGTCACCACCTTAGAAAGCTAGTGACTAGTGAAAGTAATAGAGATGCACACAGTTTGTATTGTTCTATTGCTAGTGGTGGGGCTGGGTTCATTTTGGTTACAACAGTATTATATAATATAAAAATTACAATAATAAAGTGACATTCAGGGCAAATTCAGAGGAAAAGTAATAGAAGCTAGTATTATTATTATTTAGAAAGAAATACAAAAGGATTAAAATAATTGTTAACATATAGTTTGTCATAGTTACTTTATGACAATTTTAAAGATTTATAATAGTATATATATTTATTATATTTGTAAATTTTACATATGTTGAAATTTTAAAACTATATGATACAATACAATTTTTGCATTCTTTGATGATAAAATTTGGTTTCTCTAGAACAATTTTTTTCAACAAGACAACCACTCCCCCACATCAATTTTGTCCCACTTCACCAATGTTAAAATCTGGTCACCTTAGTATAATACCTTCTACATGTTTACATTGCTACTCATATAACTTTACATCAAACATCCTGGATAGGATTCTAACATCACCAAAGTATACAACTAGTATACTCTCTCTCTCTCACACCAATGTGTGAGAATGAAGTTGTTTGAGTATTGATTATTGATGACGATATCAACTATCTCCAAGTGTCTTTGTGGCATGATGACCAGTGACCAAGTGAATAAAACCACTGAAAACTGAGCTCAACTTTTACTGTGATGGCAAGCAGAAAAATTAAATACTTAAAAATTGTGCAAGTGTCATTTATACTGACATAATTCAAAGACAAATTTAACATGGACAATTTTTAATGTGTGGCTATGTGAAAGAATCTTCTTTCAATTCTGAAATGTTAATAGATCTAGTAAGAGAAAACAGTTTATTGTTTGATAAGGAACATCCCTTGTACAAAGATATAAATTTGAAACAATAAAAATGATGATGCATCATTAATGCATGGATATATCATTCAGAGATATGCCATGGTAATGAGAATGACACTGCAACTTCTGTGTCGTTATCATTCCACATTGTAAATGAGAACCAACCGTAACTTATGAAGTGTTTACATAATAAATGTATTAATGTAGAAAAATGTAGAATTTATTTTAGCTAAACTGATCAATGCACTTTTGACAATATTTACCTATTGTCAAAAGAATGTTAACACTTTAAACTTTGCCCACTGGCTAAAAGTGCATTGATTAGCTCAACTGAATTTATTTACAGATCCTGTTGATGATCCCCAAATGGTGATGGTCTAAGTGAAAGTAAACTGTATTCTTTGACTTGCAGAATTAAAATCAATAATGGTATGTTTATCATAATTTCTTCTAACGGCTGTTATTGACTTTAATTCTGAAAGTCAAAGCACACAGTTTGCTTTCTCTTTGACTACCACCATTTAGGAGTCACTAACAGGATCTATAAATAAAATAAATTAATTTTACATTGGTAAAACTATTACTTAAACTTCAAAAGTTAAGCTCTCAATTATTATTTATTGCATCTTTAGTTATCAAACTGCACGTTAACTTTAAGGCAACCTTGTATAAGTTGAAGTACTCCTTTCTTAACTGTCTCAATCATATGGACAATATAATTCATAGCATGTAAAACCAATGGGTACTTTTTCTTCACATCTGCCTTGTAGGTACCAAGAGGCCTTTTTGTAAGCCAATAACAGTTTGGTCAGACCTACAATGGTATGGATGAGAAGTGAGGGATAAGTCTGGGTCAAAAGCACTCATGAAAATATCAGGATCTCAAACACAGAAGTCAGAGCCGGCCCTACCATAGGGCGAACGGAGCAGCTGCTCCAGGCGCCAAGTCTTAGGGGGTGCCTCAGCGGTAAAGAAAATTAAACGATATAAATTAGGGGCAACCAAGGGGGCGCCATAATAGGATCTCGCTCCATCCTAAAACTTGCCTCGGGCTGGCACTGACAGAAGTGTTCAAATACAGATCAATATTTGAGAACAGAGGAACAGAGATAGGTTGATCTTTACTTCTCTTACTGACAATTAATTGTCAGCAAAGACATGCAACTGTTGGAACTAGAAAGTGATAGAGTGATAAATATTTCATGCTGGCCATATTTTAACAGCTGAGATTATCTCCAGATACTCATTTGATAGAGGCAACTGAGTATGTTTAGGTTTGGATAAAAACAACCATTGAAGAAAGCCATATTAGAGAGAGTATTACTGAACAGTTCTTTTGCATGTTCTATAATATAATTTAAAAATATTGTATTATGTTTTAACTAAAAAAAATAGTAAATTTATTATTTATTAAAAATAAATAAATAATTACCCATTATCTTAAGCTGAATCTTGTAATGGACAAATGGTATGTAAACAATCACTCCCGAGAAAATGAACAATGAGGCATAGAGATATTCAATTGCTGGATTTTGTAAAATTGGAGCAATCACAAGATATAATGATACTATTAATACTATCACAGGAATAACAATTGGCACCTGTTAAAAAGTCAATTAGATTAGGTTAATTGTTTTGATATTTTACATTGCTAGTAATTATATAAATATTGATTGCTATTTTACAAGTAAATTATATTTAAAACAACAAATTTTCTTTGCTAAATCTATTTACTTAGACATATTTAAACTTACTTTATATGGGCGAGGAATATCTTTCATAGTCCATCGAAGAACAATAACTGAAAGTGTTGTTCCCCCATAAAATAACCATGCAGCAAAACTAAAGAAGTCAATCAAACTAGAAATATTTCCTACAGCTACCATACATATAGTCAAGAAAGCCTAATAAAAAATACATAAAACAAATTATTAAATATATTTTTATAACTTTGTAACTGTAAATATAAAATTTATAATCATATGAGAAGAAATTGTGCTAGGTAGTGATAGGTACAGGGTGAACCAAAACTCAGTTAACAAAGATTTGTATACAACATATATTTTATATTCATAGTAGCTCTACTATGAATGCTTTATGGGACAACTTAACTTTAGATGGTTGTATTTTGAGGAATCATACGTCAAAGGTATAACTCTATATGTAAGTGATGAAGATCATGTTTCACTCCTCAATTTAATAAGTTCCACATTATATTAAATTCAAAAGCTTAAACAAATACGATGACCAGAATCAGTTAACCATTCTATCAGAGCTTTATTATAGTTTCTACTAACAAAATTAAAATTGCTTAAGATGAATCTTCCATGTTTATCAATTCATAATTTATACTTCTAAATTTCACTTTTGGATAGTTGTTATTATGTTCTATGTATGTATGTCTCTTTAATCCGACATTAAGTTCGGTAGACTATCATTACAGCTTTCAGGTTAGACACTTCTTTTAAAGCTTTAATGATAGTCTACCGAACTTAATGTCGGATTAAAGAGACATACATACATAGAGCATAATTCATAATTTTCTAAAATACTTCTACGAGATTTTTGACATAAACGTGTTGTTATCAAAAGATATAAAAGTTACACCAATCAATTTTTCAATATTCTCAGTTAATTAATTTTTGAGCCGTCCTGTATTTTTTTATAATTCGTTTTTATCAATCTAATGATAAAGTTAATGTTTCTTGTTTGTCTTTTCAATCAGATTATTGAATTTAGCTGGTTTTTAATGTGGATTTAGAGAATATCTTCAAGATTTCTCTAACTACGAAACCCAGGATAGAATCTTGTGCATAGAGACATTGTGGTCACTCTATAAATTAGCTTAATAAATTATTAAAATTATAATTAACAACTTAGATAAGAAATGGCACCTAACATCTACCTCTAGTAGCAAATTATTTAGTATTAATCATTAAATTAGTGGATTTTATAGCGTGATTATTTAAGGCAATTGTTTAGTTATATATTTAATTCATTTAGTTTAATACTTCATTAGATTTATCATTACTTACATTAAACATCAAAGCTGGCATTGGAGTTAACTTGTGTATATGGATATAAGATAGAACATCAACTAAATGCCCTTCTCTTGCAGCAACAAAAGATAACCTTTAAACAAACGTAGTTCTATTTAACTAAAGAAATAAAGTATAATATAATTCTTTACTATTATATTTACTAATTTACAAGTTTCTTTAACTTAAACTATCTCGTATAATAATAAACTATAGCAAATAATCAATTTAAACAGTTTAGTGACTTATTAAAACAGTCGGTTTATAAGGTAGTTTATTTATTAACCGGACAAGAACATTAAAAAATTTTGATGGCAATATACAGAATCAGTTCTCAAAAATTACATTGCAATGATTTACTATTCACAATTTATACTTGATTGACAGGCGACATTATGCCAAATTTAGAATTTAAAAAATTCACTTTTGACTTAGTTATGGATATATTTCCACAATATATTATGTGCAACTTGAAACTAGTCCTGTTTTGTGCAAGGAAAAGAAGATAAAGTTAATAAACAAATATTTATTGTGACATATTCACAATACTGGACTGCAATTTTAATCATATCTTTAATTTATTTAATTTAAAATATATGCTCTTCATCTCAAATTAGTAATGTCTTGCCCCTGCACATCATACTTTTCCTTTAACATTAGAGTTGTGATTTCTGGTTTACATTGGAAGTTTGTATATAGTTAAGCGAGGCCTTCTGTCTCTAAGGTTTCCATATCTAGTCTCATCTTTCATCTATCTAGTGGGAATTTATAGGTCTATAATTTTTTCAAATTGCAGCCCAATTAATGTGATCTTCTCATGGCTGAATGGTTGTCAGTTAGAAATCAGATACTGTTATATCTGCAATTTCATTGTCCTGAAATATCATAGTTTTGTTTCTGAAAACTTTGCTTTGTTTGTATTTTGTCTCTTTCTCTAAAAATTTCACTTGCTTAAGAGAACAGATGATAGCTTCATTGATGCAGCCAGGGGTACAGGACAGCAATTGCACTTCTGCTACTAATAACCATATTTTTTAACAATAAAAAAATTTGTTTATGTCAGGGCTGTGGAGTCGCGTAAAAATCTACTGACTCCAACTCCAACTCTTCCTTACCATCTGACTCCGACTCCGACTCCGACTTTTCCTTACCATCCGACTCCAACTCCGACTCCGTTTCATATACATAACAAGTTGGTAAGTAAAAAGGAAGTCGGAGTCGGTGGATTTTTTGACGACTCCGACTCCGACCAAAACTCCAGCCAAAATACCAAAACTCCAGACTCCGACTCCGACTCCGCAGCCCTGGTTTATATATAAGTACCATATTTATTTATATATAAACTAAAGCCAGTTATCACTTAAATATAAATATAAACCATACACCTTAGAGTTTTTGAATATTTAGTATGGTAATAAAATATGATTTTTCCCTTTTGCATTCATACAAAACTAATGATCTGATGAAGATCTCATATACAGATTAAAAACACTAGTCATAGATAAATGTTCACTGAAATAATTTGAGGTTCCTCTTTGGTGATTTCTATTATGTATTATAATCTTCAATGTCTATAAGAATTAATATAGTAGATTTATAGTACAGTAGATCCCCCTATAAAACCGTTTCCTATAGTTATGATTCCTATAAAAATTGTGGCAGTATCCGTAAACAACGGTAAAAATAACTCCTATAATACGTAAAACGTCATCGGGCAGCCGAACTACTTTCCCGCCGTCCGTAGCGCCACGCTACGGACGTTTAGGCGGATAAATTGAGTTTAGTATCGTCTGTTCATATAATTATATATAAATTAGGTACTGTACATATAATTATATATTAATTATATATAAATTAGGTACTGTATATATAATTATATATTAACTTAATTTATTGTAACTTTATTATAATTAAATATATATTTTTCGCCGTCTAGCGTCACGCTACGGCGAGTTAGGCGACCTATCGTCTGTCCAGTACTGTAATTTTATACATTTCTTGTGAAAGAAACATTTCTTATTTAACGGCCATAAAAATTATTTATATTAAGGATGTCTCCAAAGGTCAACGAAGTTTTCGCAGAAAAATAATATCAGAAATCGCGGCCGCGGTTTGATGCGCTGTTCCGCGACGAAACCAAGCTTTAGCAACGGGCGTAGTCGAACGGTACACACTCGGTAAGCAATCCTACAATTTTTTGTTTATAACGTAGTTTATACGGATTATTTTCAAAAAAATATACGTATTTTGGAAATGTTGAGTCGAATTAGTCTAGAATCGATTAATTTTATGAAAGAAAACCTTTCAAACAGCCGTAGTCCGTAAACTATGATTCCTACAAAATTGATTCATAAAGAACGGAACGTATCTACCGTCTTATAGGGGGATCTACTGTAATATAGTATAGTACGAGAGCAAATAGCCAGCAAGCTTGACAATGACAGTTTCCAAGCTGACTAGGGACTTTCATTCCCAAATTCAACACTAGTCAGTTTTCTGGTAATTTCAGATTTCTGGAAGCCAGATATTTGGTCTGGTACTATAAAATTTTTAATTTATTTTTTAATTACAAAGATTCTAAGGCTTGCTTTGAGAACTGAAACTATTTTGTCAAAAATTTTAAAAATTACATAATCAACATTCATGAAAAGATCAATAATGTAGATTCACTGCTACTTTATAAGTTTTCTTACCTGCCTGTAGTAAAGCAACTAGCATTTCCTGCACCATATGCCGAAAAGGCAACAAAAATTGGAATGATGACGGCAGCCGGTCCTAGAACTCGAGCAGCAAATTTCTAAATAATTCATCGAGAATGATTTGCATAAAATAATCAGAAAATAAATATTTTTCTTAATCATTTATTATATCGACCTAAAATTATACATTAAAATCCATTCTTACCACTGCTACGACGTCGGATGCCAACAGTTCCGCCGGCGACATTGCTGCCAAGTATGCAATGTTTGTAAAAACATAACACAAAGTAACTAAGGGGATTGCAATTATAATTGCTCTTGGTAAGTTTCTGTTAAAAAATAACATGTTTTTAAATAAAAATATTTTAAAATAAACAGTTTTAATATGATTAAGAATAAAAATTAAATAACTACTAGTTTAATTTTGTTATTTTAGCATGGAAATTTTATGGATAATAGCAAACATCAATGTCTACTCAACGCTAATGATTCTAATTTATTAACGTAACATATCAAGTTTACTATTTTATTCAATACAACAAAGTTTATTAGTTTATTGCTTTATTGCTACATGAAAATAGTTAATATAGAATTATTTATTGATTTTTTTAATATATTAATGCTAATGCTCTGTAATATAAAGTACATGAATGATTTCCATGACCTCAGAAAGACTGAAAACCACCACTATAATGGAATCAGTTAGTACATATGAAAGATAAAAATGATCCTTTGATAGTGCATAGATACAAGTAGCAACTGAATGTGAGAATATTATGTGTGTGAATTAATCAAACATCTTTAATAATAGGTGAAATTTAAGGAACACTAACACTTTTGATCCAGGAACAGGCCATCTTTAGGCATGGACAGTTGAAAGTGTATTTGGCTGGGTAACCACAGTGACTAGTTCCTCATGCGTATGAACTCATTTAGTGAGACGATTCATTGAGTGAATTTGTACCATACGGCACTCTCAACACGTTTGTGCTGCTAATCACATAACTGAGAATTAAGCATCTAGAACTATTGTGGAAAATCATATAATTTTAGAACAGATTTGAACTAGGTTCTTATACACTGAAATTTAACTCTGACATCTTTACGATTATTAAAATGACTCAAATTATTATAAAAAACTGAGCTTTATACATTTTAAAATGTAAACATTTTTCTAAAATTAGTATTCTTGAAAGATCTTTAACTCTCATCTTCAGATTTTGAACAATTTTGTTTGAAATTTTATTGAAATAATAATAATAATAAACTAATAGAAGTGAACAATTTTCTATTTTGTCCCAGTTTTCATTATAATAAAAAAATTAGTTAATTAAGTTTAAGTTTAATAAATATTACTTACACATAAGGATTTACAAGTTCCTCAGTAACATAATTAATGTAATTCCTTTTACTTTCGGAGAACAAATTTAAATATTTATAAAAAATATGTATTCTTAATGATCAATCTTTATTATGCTAAATATTCTATTTATTTCTATTAACTCCTGTTCCTAAGGTTTAAATGTCTAGTCTCGTCTTTCATCTATCTAACTCCATTCTCGAGATTAAGGAAAGACAGATGGACGGATGGACGATAGTGGGAATTTATGTCTACAATTTTTTCAAATTGCGGCCCAAGGAAAGATAGTTGCATTGTGTAAAAGCTTTCCATAGTGACCGTGTGACATTCTACTATCCAATTGGAAGTAATGATCTAATGAGCCTGTTATTTAAAATGTATTATCGCGCATCAATTATGTTCTGATAGTATTGTAGAATTTGTAGAAATATTAGTTACTCTTCTTGAATTTCTTGAAATCTGTACTCTTCTCAATTCTTCAATCTCTACTTTCTCATATAAAGTAGTCCATCATACTTGACAAGAGAATTTCTGTTAACTTCTAATGATAAGTGTACACCCCAAAAGTGTTTGAATTTTTTAAAGTTTTTACTGTAAGTAGAGTTATATAATGAGTGTGCTATATGATTTGGTTTTCTGAAAAATTTCATTAAAATAATAATTGTAGAAAGTATCAGAATTATGAAAATGATAAAATTTATTTTTGAAAAACTCTGAAGTTATTTAGGCTTTTTTCCGTTAACTAACAAAAATTCTTTTGATGAAAACATTAGCCAAAATTAATTACAATAGATCAAAATTACACCTTTTTTTATATTTTTACCAAAAAAACATTTAATAAAAACAGCTTATATTACCATCCTTCATAAGCCCATAAACCGAAATAAAATGCCGTGGCAATATTTGAAAATGAAGTCGTTGCGTGTTCAAAATCGGGAACTAAATTCTGCGTATTACCTTTAAGATATTAAAAAGGGATAATTTTATAGATGAGAAAAGATTTCATTTTTATATTTTAGAATTTTAAATATATGCATTTATAATTTTATAATTAAATAATAGATATATTTAATTTAGAATCTTACCTTCTGCCATTTTTACTGCACCTCCAATAACAATAATAACAACTGCTAATAATTTAACAGCTGTAAAAATGTTCTGAATTCTGGTTGCTAATTTTACGCTATAGCAATTAATGAAGGCAATAAGAGCTAAAAAAAACAGAAAATTAATTTAAATTAATTATACATATTTATACTTAGAAAAAATATGAGAGATGATGGTACATTAGATATGATAATCTGAATGAGTGAGTTGTAAAGTAAAAAGCCTTCCACTGTTGATAGGCTGACTATAGTTTCTTGATGCCAAAATGGAACAGGAGCTGCAATTGATAAATAAAGACCCTCTCTTATTAAAATTCCATCAAGAAATATAGATGAGCATTATTAGCAATTTGTTAGTACATTATAATATTGATTTAGTGGTGTAAAATAATACATAAATTTTGTTTTGTTTTTGTATTGAGAGCTTAGAGGCAGTGGCGTAGCGAACATAACTGGCGCCTGGGGTACGACTCTTTATTGATACTCCTCCCCCTCCAGAAACAAATCTTGTTTGTCTTGGAGACCATTTGGTGTCCTCTGCGAGTGGCACCCGGGCATGATAGACCCACTTGCCCCTCCCTTGCTACGCTAGTGCTTAGAGGAAAGTATATGATCTTTTTGAAAAATACAGTACACATTTTCACATTAAAAAATGCAAATAAAACAAATAAAAATCAACTTTTTACTATTTTTAAAATAAAATTTTAATTTATATCAGTTTCATATTGTGTTTTTCATAAAAAAATTTAAACTTTAAAAACATTCTCTGTGTCTGGGACTGGTCAAATGATCAACTGACTCCTGTATGTGAATATAGTCATTCATCAAACCATAAAACTTGGTAATATGACAATGACATATATGTAAATGATTGACCATAAACACCTCAGAACATTTTTAAAACAAAAATCAACCAAAATTAATTAAAAAAACTCATCTTCTTGAATGAAGAAAATGAAAATGAAATAGATAACAAGACATATTTTGAATTTCGACTATCAAATATAAATAGATTGGTAGAAAGACTGGAAAACAGATAGTGATACTATAACAGACAAAAAAGAAAAACTTCTTACATCAGTGCTTCTCAAAGTGGGCAATATTATCCCCTGGGAGGTGTTTGAATTACCCAAAGGAACATTAGTCATGATAGGAGGCAAAAGGGTGTCAATAGGCACTGTCACCTCCTATCCCTGTTCTGTGTACATAGAACAGGGACACTACTGCTAATAGTCATAACCAAGGGTTCATCAAGGGTTCAAATAATCCAAAAAGTTTGAGATGCACTGTCTTATATGATATAACTTAAGACCATGACAACTCAAGTGATATCAAGCTGAGTCATTCTCTCTCTCTCGCCAATATGCTGGTGCAAGCAGGGTCATATTCCCTACCTCACAATCCAGTATATTTGTTTTATACGTTTTGTATATTATATGTAATTAGTAAATGTGGAGTAATAAATATCTGGGATTCATTTGGTGAATCTATGCAATTGTTTCCTTCTGTTTTCCTACTACTGCAAAGATGATTTGCATGGATGAAAATACACAGCTTATCTGAGCGGAGATTTACTACTGTATCTCTCAGAAATTTATTGGTTTATTTTAATATTTTTAGGCATTAATTAAGGTAACAATTTAAACTTAACTTACATATACATAAGCATGCAGTAAGTTTTTTAACAACTGTCGGCGAATCACAGTTTGGATAAAGAGGTTCCACGACATATTCGGCAAATGTCAGGCACATGATGGCAAAAGCGGCAGGTTTCATCAAGAATACGCAAGTCCATATATATAAAAATGCCGGAATGGGACCTGCATGTCCCATTCTTCCAAATGTTTTCAACAGGTATGCATATTCTCCACCTGACATCGGTATAATTGTACCTAACTCTGCATAACATAAAGCACCTGAAAAAATTATCTCATTTAAAAATCTGAAATATAAAATTTAAATAATATATAATTAATAATAACTATTCAACATATTGTAAATTGCAAGGAAATAATTCCATTTTATGATTTTAAAAGCATTAAAAGTGGCATCTTCTATTGGTACTTGGNAGAGTTAAAAAACCATCATGAGTTTGGCTAGGCCTATAATACTAGTAAGCATATGGACACTGATCCAGATCTTTCTAATACACCTTTAGGTGAAATAAATATTCCAGATCCTAAAATAAAGAGAAGAAAATGTTTAAAAATTTCATTAAAAATTTAATGTAAAATATTAATTTAGTATAGAAAAGTGATTTTTTCTCATTTTAATATTCATATAGTCCAATAGAAGATGCTGTTATAAGCAAGATTAAGTAGCATTAATAAAAACAGAATTGCCAAAGCTTGCTTCTTTGAAAAACTGCAAATGGAGGGCAAATTTGTGATGTAGGCGGTAGCAGCACAAATGGATTGTATGGTCTATTTTTCCTATTACAAAAGGGTAGATTTGTAACAGGGGAAACCAGCAGAAATTTGAAATGGGAATCAACAGGAATGCCCAGAGCAGGAGGAGAAAGGAGCAAATTGTCCTGGGCTCCAAGGAGTTAAGGCCTCCAATTTTTTTTTTGTTTAATTCCTTTACTTTAATATAGTATCAATAATTTAATTTTCTGAAGGGCCCAATGTGTATTTTGCCTCACACCCCCATTGCCTTTTGGGAAGCTCAGGGAATCAAAGTGTAATCTGTGAAAAATTCTAAGATTCTTAATGTGATTTCAAATCCCGATCCATCAAAGCAAAAGGAAGATATCTCATCACATGGCTAGCAAAATTAACAGATGACAAACAATATACATAATGATACCGAATGAAAAAATCATCAGCATAAAAGTACATTCTTCATCAGATGGCCATGCTACAAGAGATGTTACTTTGCTCCTGAAGATATCTGGGTTTTAATCATGTTGAGATCCTAATAATTTATCATGGGCAGTATGGCACAATTTACTCATGCTATCTGGTGCCATTCAACTAATTTGGGGCTGAAGTACAAAGTACTGATGTCTCGCATTAATTAATCAATAAATCAAAGTATAATTATACACATCAACGACTCCAAATTTATACAAATAACAGTAATAAAGTTTTTGGATATGTGCAATTATAGAAAATGATTAAGTAGCATGAAAGTAAGGCAAGTTTTACAGCTATAGCAATTTAAGTGTACTGTATTTCATTATAAATTAAATATAACAAGAATAAAATATATTCTTGAATAAATACAACATTATCTTTAATACTGAAGGGGATATAATTAATTTTATCGATATCTAAAATAAATAAACTCATTCAAAATGCAATTTTAAGATGAAAAATAAACAACTGTGACACTTCTGTGTTATCGAAAACGGAAGAGAGATAATGAATCATTATTTTGCTCCTTAAAAACTGCTAAATTTTAGTTTTAAAATTAATTATCATAATTAAATTTTAATTCGTTAAATAAAAATAATAATGAATTGGATTTATTATGTGAGAAGCGAGATCGTAATGGGCTTTATCATTGATTAAAGACAGAAAGGCTCGTATTCAGGGCCATCAAGAAGGGGGAGATGGGGATTTTCTCCCATGTCCGGAGAAAACATAGGAGCCCTGTAAAATTTAACGTTATTTTTACAGAAAATAAACTCTTTGAAACTTCTGTTTATCAAGAAAGAAACATTCCACACATTTCATCTGTTAAAAAAACAAAAGGGCTATGAGGCAAAAGAGCCCCAGGTCTTATGGCTGAGCAGTCAAGATGACAACCTACCGCTCTGAGGGATCCGAGATCTAATCCGAACTGGGTTGAAAAATCCCCAAGAATATCCTCCCATTCCTCACCACCTGGCTGCCCCATTGTGGGCCTGGTCGAACCCATAATGGGTTTGCTAAAACAGGTCCTCTTAATGCCCACAGGACGAAAAAGTTTGAAAAAAAATCCCAGGTCCGTACAAACTCTGGACTGCTTTGCTCGTAATGAAATCGATCAGAATGAACTTAAAAAAATGAACCAGTAATACGTGGGTGGGAGCACAGATTAATTCATCTAAATTATTCACGAAAAATCATCATTGATCGAATTGTGCCGATCCTATGCATCAGCATCAATAGTGTAGAAATCCTTCGAAAGATTTAAAGAGGCTGCAATGGGCATTTAAATGTCGTGCTTTGCTTCACTTTTTAAATTAAGTTAAGTAGGCCTGTAACATATATTTGGGCGTATCTGAAGCATACAGAAGAGCGGGGCCATAGGCAAAGCCCCGCTCTTTTATGGGCTTCAAATACGCCCAAACATAGAGGCTTCAGATACATGCTGTTCCTTTCCATCCGGCGCACTATTGTGAACCTGGCAGAACCTGTAGGAGCTTGCTAAAAAAATCCTCTTAGTACTCACAAGATGGAAAGAGTTAAAAAACCATCATGAGTTTGGCTAGGCCTATAATGAAGTCGCCGGGTGATGAGGAACAAGGCCTGACACCCTAGAAAAAATTCATAGCCTGTTTTGAATGCTGGATGCGAATCCAGGGCCCCAGTAGCAATAGGCGGATGCCTTAATCGTCTTGGCCAAAATGGACTTCAATATTATTAAATCAGGCTAAAATTTACACACTCAAATCACTTAATTGGGGGGAGGACATTATAAATTCTAAATATTTTAAATAATATATAGATTATTCATAATTTAACGAAGTGAATTGATCAATGATATACGATCCAAATTCCAAATTCTTTCATCCACATTATATTTGCAAAACAATTTATGATAAATTTAATTTTATGGAAGCGTTGAAAAGCTCAAGGTTTCGAGGTTTATTCATAGTAAAATATCAAGATACGAGTACTGTATATTGTTTGTATAAAATGGCTTCAGCATTCGAATTAAAAAAAAATTTTTAATTAAATATGATATAAACTAATTTGTTGGTTTGTATATCATCGTATTTCAGTAAGCATTGAATGGACATACACTACGTAAATCTGGGCATTGCAGGCGGTAAAGATACATTCTACTACTTTTTTTAAACCACTTTCCGCCCTATGTGCACTCAGATGGCTTCATTTTAACATGTCTATTAAGTCTTCGGCTAGGTAGTGAGGTATGGGGCCCTATATATTCGGATGCTGCGAAAAATCTGTGTGGTAGGCTTCCACCTTAACCGCTTAACCATCCGGCTAAATTTCAGGGCAGTCTGGTTCTTTTTCACCCTCAATTGTCTTATTTCGTGGCTGGCCGAACCCACGAGAAGCAAAAAATAATGAACCTCTTGGTACCACAAAGCAAGGAGAATACGACCATCATCTTCATAATTTGGAGCGGGGCTTCCTATCATTCACTATAAATGGTAACATAATTGTAATAGATGATGTACCGGTGTAAAACTCTCCAGGAATTTTCTATGGGTGATCGGGTCCCTTTGGCTTCCCCATTGTGACTGATCGAACCTACGATCAGCGTGACTAACAAGTAAGACCTTCTTAGTGCCCACAGGAGGGAGAAAATTAAATTCATTTCACTTAATCTGAGAATTTTAGCAAAGAAATCAAAATAAATAAATAGATAAATTTATTTTAAATAAATATGTCGATAGACTGAACTTTAACGTATGAAGAAATATTCCAAAAATAGAGAAATTATCGGATTTCGGATCGATCAATGAAACTTAATAAATTTTATCATACGTTATAAACGATATAAAATATCAATTATTTCTATATAAAAATTGTGAAGTTACAACGAAACGATAAATAGTAAAAAAAAAAATCCAATAACGAGTTGCTTAACTTTCCAGGCAAAATTTGGTGGCGCCATCTGTTATCATATTTTATTTTAAAAAAACCTTTTTATATGTTTAACTATTATAAAATGGCAAAAAAACTTAATTTTGAGGGTAGTGTTGGATTTTATAAAAAAATTGTAAATGCTAATAACGAGTAAAATCGTCATTAAGTCCGACCCTACTTAAGATACGCACTGGCCCCTTTATCTCCCCACTCCCTCGATCTATAATCACCAAACTTTAATAGCATCAATTCCCCTAATAAACAAACCTCTCTACAAAATTTCAGACATTTTTGACAAAAAGTACAGGAGTTATTAAGCTTCAAACAGGATGAATAAAATCGTGCCCCCCCACACAGAACTAATATCCATACATACAGAAATTACCACCGATGTTTTTTTTTTTTTTTTTTTTAATTTCTTGACGTTCCAAGGTGTCCTGAGCCCCAAAAACGTAAAAATCTTGAAGGATCATTTTTTGACCGATTGCCATACTTGTTGTATATACCTCTATTGTATATTAATACTACAGCCGAAAAAGTAAAAATATAAAAAAAATACATTGAAAAAAACATTTTATTCGTTACAATTCTTTCCATTCTGAAGCTCATCAGTGTCCGAGTGTATAAAAACCAACGAACACTGGTAATTGGTCGTGGGTTCGTACCTGACCAATAGAGTTTACCGGGAGTTCTTCAGTGTGTAATACCTAAATATGGGTCAATTTCCCATAAAATCCTCCCTTGACAGATAAACATATTTATAGATATATATACAAGATATAGAATAATTTAGAACAACAGAACAAATAGAAGAAGAATAGAGCAATAGATCCGACCATCCAAACCACAAATCCAAATACACATCATAAATACAATCTTCTCTTGTCATTACACTTAAATATAGCCTAAAGCAAATGGGGGAATGGTCAGAGTTACAAAACACTTCACGTTAATTTGTGGGCTGTATTATAACTTTCAGCATAATTATGCAACTCATTATGAGAAAAGAGTTGCACTGAAAATCGCAACATATCATAATACTGTGGAATCCGAAATAAATTCCAGTTCATATCTTCACCACTGTTTTAATAGTAAATCTATAACAAATTTATGATTTTTCTGTGATTACTTAAATTTGATTGAATGGTTCCCATCCTAATTTAGTTACCTATTTCTCTTCTCCTTATCTTCATTTACAATTTGGTTTTTAAATATGCTTGAAATCCACAAGAATTATTTTAATCATTCTAATTATACAGTTATACAGAATGGTTGCGTGTTAAGATGAAAGCTTGATGCTTGAAGATACGAGTTCATATCCGATTCAATCTCCAAAATTCTTCATGGCAGTGTGGATCGGGCGTCGTTTCTCGTTCCTCACCTTTCTGGTCGACTTCAGTATGGATCAGGTTCATCTGTAATTGGCGTAATTATTGCTAACGATAATTACGCTCATCATGGGCACCGGTTTAGTAATTAAAGTGTAGATAATTACGATAATGTATGGACTAATTTAGTAGTTATTACGGCCACATATGTTATTTATAACTTATATTATGTTGTTGTTTGTTAAGTTATGGCAACACAACACTTGGGCGATCTGCCTAGGGGGATGCCTTCCGGGAGGTCTTTTTTAAGGGAAACTGGCCCCCTATTTAGGCATTACGGACGTGGAGAAAACCCGGAAAACTCCACGTGGCCAGCCCGTCCGAGCGAGGCGCGAACCCACGATCGAACTCCCAGTGTTCAGGGTACGAAGACCGCTTGGCCACTGGTGGATTCTATAACTTATATTAAGTCAAATCAAATAACAATATCAAAATGACTTACCAATCATTCCTCCAACAATAAGTCCCACTGCACTAATCAGACCCATTTCACGTTTTAGTTCAACGCCTTTATTTTCTGCATTATTTTGTGGTAGGAGACTTTTGCTGTTGGATTTCTTTTCTGAAGGATTTGATCCAAGTTTAGATAATTCTGTATTAACTGAAATATAAAAATACTTTATTGTTTTATTCATTGATTTAAAATGCTGGAAAAATAAACAATATAAAATGCTTCAATTGATATTCGTGAAATTATCGATCTAATGAATAAATAGATAAGTTAATTAATTTTATGGCTGGACTTCCCAACGATTAGGGTGGTAGCCTACAGCTTTGAGGAGTCTGGGTTCGAATCCGGACAGATTAAAAAAAGCCACAGAAAAATGTCACAAACATGTCGGGTCCATCCACCCTCACCACTCGGCTTTTCCATCACAGGCCTGGCCTATTAGTGGCTAAACATCGAAAAGTCTTAAGTATAGAGCATAAGACTGTAGGCCGTCATGGGTCTCATCTTGGAGGCCTACAACCCAAGTTAAGGGCAAGTTCACCATTGCACCCGCCCTCAGCTTTTAATTATGATAGCTATTGCAATTCCTGTCATCTTAGTACCAAGGAGGCCATTTCATTTCAAAGAAAATCCTTATAAACGTTTAAATATAATAATTATAAATGTTTAAGTATGTCAAAACACCAAAGAAACATTTAATAATTCATATTTTAAAATTGCAATCTTAAATTATTTAAAACAAGAGATGAAGAAGACAGTTGTTTCATCTGAAAATATCTGTCCTTGTGGTTTAAAACCAAATAATAATAACGATTACAACAGGGTTCATAAGGTTAAACCGGTTTCGAGAATGACATTTATATAGAGTAGTGTCTTCTAATCAAAGTCGAAATTACGCAACTTTTCTTAGAATTCCCTTTGCAATTTATTTTGTCTGCAATTTTTTATAGTATCAATTTAACTTTCCTGATTATTCAGAAGAGAAAGAAACCTTTCTTCGAACATGAAACCATAAATTTACAGGAACTTCGTTAACGTGCCAATGAATATACCATTAAAATTTGATAATTATTTATTTTAGTTAAACATATGGCATATATTTATTTTTAATCTGCAGGCTTTTTTTTACATTTATTTATTTATCAACGTCACATAAGAGTGGTTTACTCTTACATTAAGGTAATGTGACGTTGATATTACATCATATTTACTCTTTCATTTCAAAAAAATGACGACAGACTGACAATTGCAACGTGCAAGTTCTGTAAAATAATAGTCAAATTTCGATCGCAAATTCATTTCGAAATAAATATTAGTGTGGAATTTTATTGTTGTTTCTCCGAATTTCGTTATTTTAGATATAAATTATTTTAAAAAAACAGTTCATTAAATGCTCGTGCTTTTGTTGTTGCAAGTTCGATTATAACTTCATGGCCTTAATAACACGTAACAGATACGTGAATTAATGACAGTTAGATGTAACGGAAGGGCAATATTATGCAATCGCGAAAGATAAAAAAAATCACTTTGAAGATTTGTAAATACAGTATATTAATTCGGTGTTCTCTCTTCAATACTATGTGAACGAAATTCCTCATAGGGATTTTAAATTTTCATGATATTTTGCGTAAGTTCTAATAGAGGAAACAGTAATTTCCTGCAAAAATTTTAACCATATATTGCTTCTCAATAAGCACATTCTTTGATTCGATATATGATACATGTGTTAGTTCGTTAACGTTATCTTGGACACTAAGAGGGTATTTTCTGCGCCCATCTTGGATTAGGCTAAGCCCGCAATGAGACAACAGAGTAGTAAGCATTCCATTTTTCTTACTACCCGCCGGGATCGAATTCTGAGAAATTTTATTGATGAGTTGCTGGAATATGCCTGATTTCATTCCACATCACCTAACCATCCCATTGAAAGTCTGGCTAAATTCGTAATGAGCATAAATAAACCCTTCTTTGTGCCCATAAAACGCCAGATGGCCAGGGCAGTAAAGAACTAACTTGCTGTTATGAAAGACCCGGGCCCTGGTACGGGTAAACTCAGAAATTTCCACAGATGTGCTGTCCCGAATAGTTAAGGTGTCAGTTTATCGCACTGAGGACCCGATCGGGTCGAAAAATCCTATGTATTTTTCGAAGGAATACGTCAGGATATCTCCCCCGTCCATCCTATTTTGGACCTTGCCGAACCTACATTAAACTTGAGAAAAACGCTCTTAGTGTCCATAGGGAGAACATAGTTTAAATGTATTTTAAAAGAAATACCCGGTTATGTGAAGCAGGCTTACAATAGACACTTTTAGTGAATGCCCTCAAATATAAATTGATTCCTCTACCCTCACGACGCAAGCCGTCCCACTGTGGACCCGGTAAAATCCACAATGGGCTTGGTTAAAAGTGTTCAGAGGGCGGAAAGAATAAATATAAAAAACTATTGTTTAAATATTACTATTTAAACAATACTGACAAATTGCTATTATGAAATTCTCAAGTTGACGAGTCATTTAACATAATTGTCATTCTGCTGCAATAACATTCCTTTTAAGAAAAATGTATAAAGCCATTAATTTACAAGATTTTTATTTGCTTTATTTAATAGTCGATTCAAATTTATTCTTTATCGCCTGACGCTCTGGGGAATCCGAAATTAAATCCGAGCGAATCCCAAGCATTTATCATGGGCGATCCGCCCGGATATGTCCGTTCGTCGATCCCATTTTGGGCCTAACCGATGGGTATAATTTGAAAGGCCCTGTTAGTGCCCTCAGAGAAGAAAAAAGACATTCAAGAATTCGGCAGACCTACAATTAGGGCAGGCAGATGGTTAGATGTGGGCCCAAAATATATGAGACAATTCATTCAGGAAAATTTGTCAGATCCCTCAGAGCAGTAGGACCATCATCTGGACATCAATGAGATCCAATTAAGAAAATCTTTAATCTTTTGAGAATCTTGCTAGGCCTGAAGGGCCTAGCAAGGAGGCCTGAAAGCTCCAGGTCGAGAGGAAATTGAGAAGGAGACAATCCTAAAATTACACAAAATTTATTAATAGTATAACGATATTTATTTTAGTTTTTCAATAATTTTCTAACAAAATAATGTTTATGAATAAGAATTGTTTAAAGTTCTAATCCGAAAATGATGATGATGAATGACGAATTTAATGACGATATCAAAATATTCAATACAATATAAAATATAGAGGTTTTAATGAATGCATAGTGAACTTAACAAATTTTTCAATGGACTTTTCTTAATGAATAATTGTTCTTTCTTTATTGAGACGTCAATTTGAATTATACAAACATGTTTTCTCTCATTAAATTCTACGTCTAAACAATAAAATGTATCAAGTTCCCGGTGATTTATGCTTCCTTCATTGAAAAATAATTAAATTGCGAAGTTCTTGTGGAGTTTCTTTTATTTTTGTCTCTGTTATCAAGTATTAAAATTTGTTAATTTTTGAGAAAAGACGATGTGGAAATAATCACGTGCCCAACAATGGCCGAGTGGATAAAACCCCTGAATACTTGTAGTTAGTTGGTCGTGGATTCGCGCCTGGCCACTTGGGGTTTTCCGGGTTTTCTTCACGTGTCAACACCACCATTTCCAGATGGCTGGATGGCCGAGCGGTTAGAGTGGCAGTTTCTGCTCTGGAGGACCCGGGATCGAATCCGAACGGGTAGATCCCGGGTCCTCCAGAGCAGAAACTGCCACTCTAAGGAATTTTTTGGGTGTGATCCGTCCGGATATGTCGGACCCCGACTCTCAACACCCGACCGCACCATTTGGGTCTGGCCAAACCTGCTAAAAAGAAGCCTCTTAATACCCCACATGGAGAAAAGAGTTAAAGTAAATCTCAGTTTCCCATAGAAAGTCCTCCTGGAAGGCACCCTCTTGAAAGCAGTGACGCGTTATCTGTTCACGCAAAAAGAGCAATTTTCTGGGGCACCCGCCAACAGGAGGGCCTAAACCAATCTTTTATAAACTTATTAGTGTATTAAGAATATCGAAATTTACAATTAAGCTATATCAGGGATCCCTAGATTGCCGGTTGGTGCAGGCGCAGGGTGCACTGGCACAGCGCAGAAGTCGCGTTAGAAAACGAACGAGGAAACCGGGGGGAATTCCCCAAAATTTCCCTAACAAAAACGTTTGAAGTCAACACTGTACATGAAGCCCCCTAATCCAAATTTTCCCCGGGATCCCACAAATCTATAACGCTGCCCACGTGTTGTATTCCATCAAACAAAACTTTTACCATCTCGGCTAACCTACAACGACCCCATAGCTTATCATACCCAATATGAGTAGAGGCATCGTTCTCTAACTGTCAAACAAGCTAGCTGATCCCATTGCAATCAAGCTCACCCGTAATCACTAACTAGTATTATGGAAGACATATAGCCTATAGCGTGTTGGTTACTCGCTTTACTCGATCGAATCGAATCAATGAAGAATTTCTACAACAGACGAAGAGATATAGTACTGATAGACAAACAGACATACCACAAACGGGTTTTTAATCAACGTAAAAAAACAACAGTACTGGTTGATTACTCAGACCGGTTTATAATTAGAACGTAGTAAAGAATTTTAACAAATAAAAAAAAATAATAATTTTATAAATATTGATTCACGTGTTAAATTTCAGTACGCGTAGTACAGTACAAGTGTACACTCGGCGAAAATAAACCGAGTAAATGTGACGCGAATTTGATTACGGCATTGACACGTGGGGCCCACACTAAAAGATATTGTGACGTACTGTTAAAAACTTTGACACTTAAACTTTCATTCGATAGCATTTTTTTTGTTCAAAGAAACTCTGAAGTTAATTTGAAATAAAATATCAAAGTTGTCGACGTCACTGTAACCCTGTATTATATACTATAATACATACAGAGTGATGTGACAACTTTGATACCTTTGAACTTTGAAAATTGCTGAAAGCCGTTTTAAAAATTCGACTTTTTTAATTTATTATTTTAAAAATATATTTATAATTTACAATTAAGAACAGAATTTAATTAATTTTTAAAATTAATTAATTAAATTAAGCAGAATGTTCGTAGTGTCTTCCAAAACAACACTCAAGTTATCAAGAAAAACTAAATTTTTTTCATGTAATATTATAA